AACGACAAATATTATTTGTTATTGACCATCCGTCACAAAGTAGTCTCGTCACTAAATTCGACGTTCAACAATCGATTGCTAATCTCTTGTTATTTAGCTACCGATTTTGAATTTGTAGTTAAGATCCATTGCTAGTTTACGATCAATTAGAAAATTCGAGTCTTGTTCAATGCAATATGCAGTTAGTGGTATATTTATTTCCTCACACATGATTGTAGCTATTTTTAAAAAGATCTTAATTTTTGATTATGATAAAAACATAGTGAAGCTCGTCTCAACTAAAAAAGTGGTATGATATGAGCAAATTGTTATGTGTTAGAGGTTGTGAGATAGTTAATCTATTCTTTCATTTAATTTACTTATAAAAAAATAGCATATAGGCCCGAGCTTCACTGTAAGTTTGTCAACAAAATATGTTATAATTTTTTTTTTAAAAAAAGAAAATTACACTTAAAGTGTAAAATAAAAAATCTAACAAAAATTCATTCTATTATAAAAAAATACAGATTAAATTGATAAATTCTAAATTACTAATCTACAATATAATAACAATTTTACAATTTGTCATGTGTATTTTAGATGAGCTAATTTTTTTATCACATACCCTAAATCCTTGCTAAATTGCAAGCGGGCATGTGAAATTGGGTAGGTTGCACTCAAAGATACCTCGATGAAATTATATTTAACTTTTCTCTTAATTGCATTTTTAATATTTTGTGAGCATACCATATTTTCATATCGCATACAATAAATTGACTTTGTGCATTCAAATAAAATTAAAAAACTCAAAAATTGGGCATTTCAATTGCTCGTTAATTGAATCCATTTAAAAAATAGATTGCTCCTTGAAAATTTGGTGCATTAATGAGCACAAAATGTATTAAAAATAAACAGTTAAGGACGCAAGGAACTTAATCGTTACCTTTTCGATCTTTATTATGTTCCTTCGCAATCTTTATTAGGCTTAAATGACTTAATTAATCTCATTCGACTCTCTCTCTTTCCCAAGTTCATGAATATTAAAAACATGGTTAAAATTCCAATTCTGTTTTTCATTGATGAGATTTCATTTTAATTATTCTCTTTTATTTAACGAGAATTTAAACTATTTTTTTCTTCTAAGAAGTCAAGTTTAACACCAATAGCTGCCAGATTAAGTTCCAATCATCAATTATATTTCAAAAGCTAAGGGGCTATCAACCATTAAAAAAAAAAATGCCCATTGTTTTTTTTTTTAACAACATTAAATCTATCAAGTCTAATAAATATTGAAAGCAAAGGCTAGGCTAATTCTAAAGTGTCATGTTTCAACATGATGATTATTAAATTTTATTTCAAGTAAGTACATTGTGTTTTGACAGCTCTGATTCTTCAAATGCGAGTGATTACGTTACGATGTTCATAAATAATATATAATTAACAAAGTTTTACATCAACTTAAGGATGAAGTAATTTGATTTTGAATTTTCATTTATTTTTCAATAGCCTTTTATGCTAATGATGTTGCGATTATACTAATTTTAAAATTAAAAAAAAAATTGAAATGAGAAATCCATGGATTATATATATTTCTCGCAAATAATTTACTCAACAACTATTTAGATGTCAAATAAATGAGGTGAAATATTCTAAATTGTGAATTGAGGTCTCATATATTAATCGTTGCAACTTACATAAATACGAAGGTTTTCACGATATTAAAATCATTATTCTAAATTTTAGGTAGGCCCTCGCAAAGCGAAGGCACAACGACTGGTTTTTAGTTTAAGTAATGATCATGAGCATCGAGTGCCTAGACTTGAAGCCACATGTTATCTCTGACAGTTTTTTCATTTTTGGTTGGATGGTAAAGGTATTTTCTGGTTAGTATAAAATTAATCTTTCTATTTTTAAAAAACAAATTGATTAATTTCTTTTATTTTAAAATCTAATTATTTAGTTCCTTAACCAATATTAACCATGCTTAAATTTATATTACTTTATTTATAAAAAAATCATCTTCTTTCAACAATCCTTCCACATTTTTTTACTTATTTTTTTCTTTTTTTATTTCTTAAAACAAACAATAAAAATAAATTAAAAAGAAAAAAGAGATTAAGTTATAAAAAAATTTAAAAATATAAGTACTAAATAATTAGTTTTTGAAACAAAGAGGACTAATTAATTTTTTTCTCAAAACTAGAAGGATTAATTTATAATTTACTTGCTTACAAGATAATGGAGAATAAATTCTTTCTTGAAAAGAATAAAATATAAAATATAAAAGAAGAAGTTAAGTTTTTGTTTGACATAACTGCGATTTTCTATTTCATAACAACAAAAAAATAAAAATTTTGTTTGGTAGAACTGTTGTGTTTATTATTGTTATTTTTTTTAACAATTTTAAAAATTAATTTAGGGTTTTAAAAATAACAAAATGTGGTTTTTAATTTTCAGTTTCAATTTTTTTATTCATCAGATATCATGCTATTAATATTACCACTATCATGCAACCACAATGACTACTAATATCACCCTATTATCATCATCTTGACCATGCCATCACCATCACGACTAACTAAGCTACTACTTTCATTTCACTTTTTATCACCATCATTATAATTAACCCCATCAACAATACTGCTATCATCTCTATAATCTTTACAAACATATTATGATTATTTTTGTTGTTATCATATTATTTGAACAACCTCTATCATATCATTATCACTCACTATAATCATCATAATTACCAATAAAATAAACATCTCTAAAATTTTGGTATTGCTATTAGGGATGGCAATGGGGCGGGCGGGGATCGCCATCCTCATCCCCGCCCCGTGTCTCGAATAGGACAGAATTTTCCATTCTATCCTCGCCTCAAGCCGGGACGGGGATACTGCGGGGCAAACAGGGCATAAACGAGGTTTTTTTTTCATCTTTTTTTATCCCATTCTACTATTAAATTTCAAACTATAGCAAAAAAAAAAATTATAGTTTATATAGAAAATAAACCCTAAAAGTCACTAATCATAGATTTTATATAAGGTATAATTATAATTTTAATAAAAAAAAAAGGCAAACAAGGCAAGACGAGCAAATCCCATCCCCGTCCCATCCCATTCCCCGATCAATGCGGGAAATCCTCGCGTTGATCGGAAAAAATCGGAGCGAGGTCGAGCAAGGCTCTATCGGAGCGGGGCAAATTGCCATCCCTAATTGCTATAACCATTAGTATTATTTTTAACATCATGTCAATCACGATCTATCATATATTCTTGTTCAAAAAATAATAGTTTTTCAATAATAATAAATAATAATGATAAAATAGTTTTGGATTTTTTTAAAACAAAAATATTCTCTAGATATCAAATGGAGTCGATTAAAAAAGTTATTAAATATTATGTCATATCAACATCTTTCATTCATACTTTAATTAAAAATATTTTAGAAAAAAAACACCACTTAAAGTTCTAGCTAGATAAACATTTTTAAATAGATATAAATAAATAAATAAAACGATCTATTTAGAATTAAAAAAGTACAAAAATACTCTATTTGTCCCAAAAAGATTCTGTTTCTTTCTATTTATATCTAGCTCAAAATATTGATCTGATCAAAATTTTAACTAAGGTATTTCCTAAAAAAATCCCTATTTTATTAAGAAAATCAACTCATTCTTTCATTTTTTGTTCTACGAAACAAAAAATCAATACTTTTTTAATACTTTTTTCCATTATACATGGAAATATCTTTAACATAAAAATTTGAAAGGAAAATTTTTTATTGCATAAAAAATATTTATTCTTATAAAGACTTTACTCGTATGCCGAAATTATGAGAGTACAAATTTTCATTAATATGTTATTTTTTTATAATTGTTTTAAATTTAATTATTAATTAGCTTAATGATTTGTTCTTCAATTGAAAACCTTAATTTTGGACATATTTTCTCTTTAAATTAATATTTGTTCTATGTAATGTAAGATTAAACTTGATAACTAATAATTTTAACAAAATAGTATTTTAAGAAAACAAGAACAAAAAATATTAATGTACTATAACAATTAATAATTTTTGTAAACTCTATGAAAAAAAAAAGGAATTGAGGAAGTAGTACCAAAAGAAATCTAAGTTCAACTTTCTTCTTTTCATGAATTTTGAACCATATTAGAATTTGGCTGAACTCAAGAACGACCACGCGGCTTTATTATTTGTAATAGCGTACTTGCACTGCGCTCCCTAACGGTTTCCTATGTCAAGAAAGGTTAGTTATAAATATAATAAAGGAAGCGCCAAATTGACCAAACCTTACAACTTCCATTTTGCATCCATTTGATTCACGTCTTTTTATCCTCTCTTTCTGATCTTCTTCTTCTTTGCATCTGCACCAAAACAGAAGACCAAAAGCTCTAAAAGAATGTTGTGCTGTTGTTGTTGCTGTTGTTGGGTTTGGTGGCAAGTAGCTGTTGCAGATATGAATCGTTGTTTACAAGGTAATCAGTTTGGAAAGTGTTGCTGAGTTTTCAACTCTTATATCTCACTCATCTATGGATACATAGAATAAATAAATCACTGTCACCTACTCCTTAGCTTCACTTTTAATTTATTCTTGGATGTTCTTGTTTCATCCATCACAGATTTTCTAATTCACGATTTCAATGTGTCACCGAACTTTAACTTTGTTTATCTGATCGAATGCGTTGGTGGGTCATTGTTAGAAGAGAGAGATGCAGACGTAGAAGGTTTCTTGTAGTTGTCGTCTTGAAAGTAATTTATATTTTTGCCGTTTCTTGAAATTGTCGATTGAAAATAAAAATTTTCAACATTGATATTGATGTGAATGTAGCCAGGTTGCTCAAGTTTCTTGTAAAGGTTGTATGAGAAGATTTTCTTTTAGTTGGTCAATCATTAGGCAAATTAGATTTCTTAGTAGTGTTGTATATTGGAGATTGTGGTGGCATCTGGTTAGTAGTCTGACTAGTTAAGCTTCATTGAGATTTGAGAGAGATAATGATATAATGGGGAAGCAAGGATCCCCTAGAAGTCCACGTCCCGACGTGGTGAATGTGAAAGATTATCAGAAAAGAAGTTCAGAATGTTTGCCTGGTAGTGATCCTATCCTTGGGAGGAGATTGTCAGGAGGGGATAGTAATTGGAAAACAAAAGTTGTATTGCTTCATGACTTGAAAACTGAGTATGGGAAGCTTGGTTCTTGCAAGGCAGTTTATGTTGGGAAAAGGCACTTGTGGTTCCGAAAGCATGTTAAGTCAATTGCTTTTATGTTTGCTTTGATGGGGTCTCTTTTCCTGCTTGATTCTTTCATGGTGTCACTTTTTGATTCAATAAATCTGCAAAATAGTTCACCCTCACGTACATCAAGTGGTCTTAAGGTATGATGCTGTGTGTTCATTGCACTAAGATAGCTAACACATTGCATTTTCGAGTAACTGTTGGATTTGCACCATGAAAATGTTGGAAATCTGTTCTTAGGAGTTGTGTTCATTATCGACAGAAGTAGATGACAACAACTACTGCATTTCGAATTAACTAATTACATCCTTTTATGTGGTCTATACAATTCTACTTATCAATCACAGTTTGCAGCTCACATTCATTGCATTGACATTCCAATTCTGGTATCCAGCTAACAAAGTGCCCAACTAGTGGGTAATGTTTTTGTTCAAGGAAGTTCAATTTAAATTTTTCTTTTTTGCAACTGAACTTCTGCAATACGTGACTTGTTTACATTTAGTCATGCAAATATTTTTATTTTTTCATGATTATACAAGTGCACCCATGCCTATGACATCGACCACCACATAATGGACCATGAATCCTATTCTTCTTTTGGCACATTCCTAAGAAGGAAAAAAGTTGCTAGTCTATCATTAAATCTGAACGTTTTATGTATATCATATAGATGTGGGTAAGGCAGTGACTATGTGCTTTACTCTGCAGGCTGTCTTTTTTGTTAGTTTTTTGGTAGTCAAGTTCTGTATGTATCATATAGGATCCACCACTAGTTTTCTTTTTTCTTTTTCTTTTTTTAGCTAAACAAATGCAAATTTCCATAAGTTAATAGGTCAAGTGTTTGAGACAGTTACTGATGGATGTTAGTTAATTGGTAATTCTTGTATCTAAAGGGGGATAGACATAGAACTGCCTATGTTAAAGAAGAAGAACCACCAGTCCAGATGTATGGTCGGCTTCAAAACTTGGCTTACAGTGCTCTTGCAGAGGTTTGCTTCAAAATTTCACATTTAACAAATTCATGTTAGATGAGTTTTTGACATATAATGTCATAAGTCTGAAACCTCTTCTCTGCTTTAGAAAGAGTTCGTGCAAGACACCTCGAATTTCTGGGAGGAACCACGGAGGGCATCTTTATGGAAACCTTGTGCCGATAGAAAAGATTCAGAAAAATTAGGTAATTTAACATCTTCTGCTTTTTGCTTGCATGTTTGTGTAAAAAAGTGATGTTTAGTGTATGATGAATGATACGTACACTGTAAAATCTGGAAAAATTAAATGACCAGAAGTAGCATGATTAAGTCTTTTTTTCTTTTCTTTTTTTTGTTTTTTGGTGACAGGGCAACATGACAAAAACAATGGGTACCTAATGGTCAGTGCAAATGGTGGTCTCAATCAACAAAGAGTAGCTGTAAGTGTCCAAAATTTTCAGACACATAGGTTCATGTAGTTTTTAATAATTTACTTTTTTGGATTGTCATAAATAAAGTTATTGGCTGCCTGTCTTATTTCGTTGGTTGATGCATCTCAATTTGTTTTCGGACTTAGGATTTATGTTCATGATGATTATATCTTATAGTAGAGTCCTGCATGGATTACATTATTTACTGCAGCATTCATAACCATTTAGCATTTTGTATTGCTTATTAACTGCTCCCTGTTTAGATTCTTCATGATAGAATAACTAAAAAGGTTTGTGCTAGAGCTTCTCCAATCCTGGGGTTGCGTTTTCGTGTAAATGTCACACAATCCTCCTCTCTACAATTATCGTTTTCGTACGACAGATTGGTGAACCAGAAAAAGAGAAAACAAAGAACGAAATCAGAGATCAATAGGTATATGGTGAAATGATTTGATTACATTTTTAAGGGAAATAAGCATTATTGAAGTTGTTAGATTCTCACCACAATGTTCCATGTTTTAGCTACTGCTACAGAGTTAATTGGCAATTTCCCAGAAACAACTAAAACAAAGCGAAACCTACTGGGGAGAACGATTTCTCGTAAACATTGGTCATATTTTCTTATGGGTATGGTCTTAGAATCAACGAGAATATAGGACAGTAAAGTTAAGGTTAAAAGTTAGCGGATGTTTACTCTTGTATTGAAGCAAGATGAAGATACAGTCACTTGCATATTTTTTCATGTACTTGGTTGCAACCTTTTCTTTTGGCAATTTTTAAAGAACTTATAACTCATTGCATAGGAAATCTCACTTTTTAGGTGGCTAGCTCACATTAGATGTATATATCCACATGAAGCTAGGTTCAGTAGATTGTAATTTCTTACTTATCCAGTGAAAAATCTCAAATAGGTGATAGCTCACACATTATGTCAACATCCAAGTGAGGTTAGGTTCAATGAATATGATTTATGGGGATTAAACGAAAAGGAGTCTACGCACACGACTGAATTCAAAAACTTACGAAGAATAAATTTGGAAGTTCCAGAAAACAGATAACACAACAAATGCCTTGTTTTTTTATATGTCTCCATTTTTTAAACGTATATAGGTCTTTTAAATTGCAACAACATGGATAGGTGTTGGATTTCATTACTCAGGAAAGGAGTTATAAGTCCTCCAGGGAATTTAACTTTTTGCGCTCTTGGCCCTGCAAATATTAAAAGAGTAGATAGCTAAAGGTTGGAAAGTGTTCATGGAAGAACTGGAAGAATGATTTGAAATGATGGAACTTATGTTTGTGTGCGAGTATGGTTTCATAAAGTACAATGTGGTAACTGCCTCTGAATTCCTGTGTAGTTAAGAGGGAACTGATGAATTATATCTAATGTTGGAGTCATCAATGAAGAGAAAATACCTTAAGATAAAATCTGGAATAATCAATTACTAGGATGTTTGTTTTAAATCTGAGGCATTTCTTACCACAGTGGTTGTTCTTAACCCTTGTAAATTAATATGTGATGTCTGGATAATGCATATAACCTTTTCCATATTGACTGCAAGTTGTAGCTCTGCATTGAGGTTTTCCTGAAGGAATTTTTTATATCTGAATTTTGATAATCTTAGCTTAATATAGTTTATCTTGCTGATGAGATGTTTCCTATGTCTTTCCTAGCCGTCAGAATTGCCATTACATATTTCAGTGACATAATTGTTACTCCCTGCAGATATGCAATGCCGTTGCCTTGGCATCTTTACTTGATGCAACCCTAATTCTTCCCAGATTTCTTTACAGCAATGTATGGAAGGATCCGAGGTCTGATATTATCTTTGCAAATTGCTGCGTTGAATATAATTACTGTCGGCATTATTATATCTGAATGTGGTCATTGTTCATATAACCTGCTCACAAAATGAATTTTAGTCTATTGTGTGTTTGAAATGCTGTTTGCTTCATGAACTCCTTTTCTTTCATAAAATACATCACTATCTTCTTCATGAGCTGAACATGGGAATTCAGTATTATCTGCAGAAAACTCACCTCTTCCATTTTATGGAAATGCAGCCAATTCGGTGACATCTATCAAGAGGAGTATTTTATGAATGTCATGAAGGATGAAGTGAATATCGTAAAAGAGCTTCCTTCTCATTTGAAGTCATTAGATATTGAAGCAATCGGTAGCCTAGTGTGTGATCTTCTTGGTTTCTAATTGTTTAGTATGAAGGCAGTGGTACTTCAGATCATTAATTTATCTCTTTTTATCTTGCTTTTGTTAGATTACTGATGCAGACATTGTGAAGGAGGCAAAGCCCTTTGATTACCTTACAAAAGTACTTCCTCTCCTGCTGCGGAATGGAGTTGTTCACTTTCTTGGATTTGGAAATCGACTTGGATTTGATCCATTGCCTAATAGACTTCAGGTAAAGGACATTACTTAGAGGTTCAAATATTTCAGGAAAAAAATATAGACATAGAGAAGCTCAATGTTAACTAGAATCTCCTCACAATGTCTTGGATGTGCGGCCATTGAACTTGACTGAAGAAACTATCCCTAAAACCAGAAAATAACAATGCAATACAGATAGTGATTTCTCTGTGAAGTATCCAAGTAATCCTGAATTAACAAAAATGGTCCAAACAAAGCATGACATCTAGTGATGAATCAAAATCCTCTGTCCTTTTTACATATAGCAGAAATATGAAAGGAAAAATACTGCTGGATATAGCTGGTCTTTTCTTCTGAAATATATCGCATGGTTTTCACCTATATATAACCACTGAAAATAGATTACATTAACAACTGAATGAAGCATGAGGCATTTTATGGCACAAAACATCACAGAGACAATTTCTGCAATCATTCAAAGAATATGACAGATAGTTACTTGGTTTTGTAACTAAATTTCTATGGTAGCATTCATTTATTTAGTTTATGTGAAACAATCATAACATAGTTTATATGAAAGCAGCATCATTTATAGTTATATTATTGCCTTTGTGATAACATCAAAATTTTCTCCAGAAATTAAGGTGCAAATGTAACTTCCATGCATTGAAGTTTGTGCCAAAAATTCAAGAAGCTGGTTCATTGTTGATCAGAAGGATAAGGAAGTACGATACTGCACAGAGTATGTTGGATAAACAACTTGTCGGAGAGTTTTTGTCTGGCAGTCCCTCAAAAAAACATGATTCAGCAAGAGGATCATCCAAATATCTTGCTTTACACCTGAGGTTTGAAGTGGATATGATTGCCTACTCCTTGTGTGATTTTGGAGGAGGGGAAAAGGAGAGAAGGGAACTCCAGGCTTACAGAGAGAGTCATTTCCCTCTGCTTATGGAACGCTTGAAACACTCCACGTATGAATTTCTTTAGCTTTATAATTTATACTTTCTCTAAAGATATAATCTTGATGTGGAATCTCTCCCTTTCATATCACTGATGTTTGCAGGCCTATCTCTTCATCAGAGTGGAGAAACTTAGGGAGATGTCCATTAACACCTGAAGAAGCTGCGCTTGTACTTGCTGGTCTTGGATTCAAACGTGGAACTTACATTTATCTCGCTAGTTCTCATATATATGGGGGAAAATCTAGGATGCATTCATTCACAAGCCTCTATCCCAACTTAGTCACAAAGGAAACGCTCCTGACACCCAGTGAGCTTGCACCTTTTAGGAATTTCTCTTCGCAGGTAACCATCCTTTCTTTGGGCATGTTCAACTTGAAAATTCTTAGCAAATTCCTGCACGAGCAGAGTTTTTGGAAACTACTTATTCATTGACATTTTAGAGAACTGCTTTGTTGGTTGCAGCTAGCAGCATTGGATTTTATTGCCTGTGCAACTGCAGATGTCTTTTCCATGACTGATTCTGGGAGCCAACTCGCATCCCTAGTGTCTGGATTCCGCACTTACTATGGCGGTGGCCATGCTCCTACGCTGCGGCCTAACAAGAAGAGGCTAGCGAAAATTTTGTCAGAGAATAGCACCATAGGTTGGAATAGTTTTGAAGATAGAGTAAGAAAGATGATCGAGGAAGGTCAGAGTGTTCGCATACGGGGTTTTGGTCGAAGCATTTACAGACAACCAAGGAGCCCAGGATGCATGTGTAAAACCCACTAGCATGTTCTCAGATGCACAACTTTTTCAACCTTCTATCGTTTTGGAATTGATTTGCATCGGTCCTGCAGACATCCCAATCAAGGCTTTGCTCCTCAATTGATAATCACGTCATCATGAATGAAAATGACAATGCTAATAGGCTGATATATCATATCATTCGTTTGTTTAATTGTTTATATTTGTAAATTTTCTTCTCTTTTGTTCTCATTCCTTTAATTCTTTCCATTTGTATATAACATACATATTCAATACAATGATATCATACCATTGCTTCCTGCGGATATCACTACGATAGTTTTTTTTGCTATTCACGCAAAGTGGTTATACATGAAATGCCAGCAACTCTGAAGCAATATCCCACAACATATGACTTGAATACTCTTTACTGTCCATGAAAGCGTGTTTCCTATCGACTGATAAGAGATGCTGTCATCAGAGGAATCCTTTTAAAACAAAATTTGGTTGAATGTTGGGATAGAAATCCATCAGATTAAGCGACTCTTTTTTATAACAACTCTAGTTGTGAGATGTGAGAACTCTGTGTGAACGATGAGGTTGCTCATACATGTCATGCCTTGATCTTTCTGTCATGCAAACTCTTGGCTGGCTATATTCTGATAAAAGATTTATATTATTCTCTAACACATACTCTCAAAGTTAAAACTCTTTAGGTTTGAAATTTACACAGACCCACATTACCTTATGCTTAATGAATTAGAAGAGAAAGTGAGGTGATAAGATTCGAATTTGGGAATATTTAGTCATCAAGGTTCTGATATCATATTAAAAAACCATTAATAATGCAATAAAAGACAACTTTAACGAAATAGCACTCTCGATTGCAATAACTTTAACGAAATACGATAAAAGATATAATTTTTAACTACTAATTATAACGATCACATTTATTATTATCATAAATCATTTAACATTCCCTACCAAGTTTTTTAATACATGTTAATTTGATAATTTTATTAAATAAACATAATAATAGCAGTTTTTTAGTTATTTACATATACCCTTATAATTCAATAATATTGCAGTATTAAAAATTAAATTTTAATTTAACCTAAGTTTAATTATTGTTCATAAAATATTATAATAAAATTATAATTTAGTTACCGGTTGCTAGATTGAAAGAAAACTTAAATCATAAATTTTCTTTGTGCGTGCGATAAAAAAAATATAAAAAATTTTTAATTTTTCAAAATATACAATGTAAAAGAAAGTAAAAAGAAAAATTACAAAATTAGGCCCAATATCACTTTTAAAAAATTGTAAAAGAGGTAAGGGCTACTAAAATTATATATAAAAAAAAATTAGGTCCAAAGAAAAAGGTGTATGGACCTAAATGCAAAAAATTGGCCCAACATATTAGTTTTCTAGGTTTAAGTAAAAATCAAATGAGCAATACGTCTAAACCTAAAACAAATTTTCTAATTTTCTGCTCCTTCGCCGTCTGTCTCTTCTTCTTTATATACGTCTCTCTTTTATATCTGCCAGCACGAGGTCTTCTCTTTTCTTTTTTATTTTCTTTATATGTTAAAAACAATATTCTTTTCGAAAATGTTTTACGACGTCACGGTGACAGATATTATTTTTAAAAATAGAAAGTTTTTAAAAATAAATTTAAAAAATAAAAAAGTTAAATAATATAATACTCTTATTAAAAATTATCTATTTTTTTTCCTTTCTTGTATCCCTCTAAAAAAACACTATCCTTGTATAAAATTATCCCTCTAAAAAAACATTACCGTTGTATAAAATTATGATGATTTTTTTTATATATACCATTGGTTTCATGTCTTTTTATCTTCCTTTTTAAAAAAACCAATTCTCCCTCCCAAATTTTTTTTTTTTAATGTTTCATTAAATCTGATTGAAGATTGAAGTACAAATATTTATCAATGAAAGATAACAGTGTTTTTTTGTTTTTTTCCTTCTAAAAATGGATATAACAGCCATTAACGTTTATATAATGGTATAATGGCCGTTATAGATGTAAACCTCTAATATTTCGTTATAACGCTGAAAAACAATAGCGGCTGTTACCGATTGCATTATACAAGGGCAATGTTTTAGAACTACAGCTACGTTGGTTTAACATTTCTTGATTATTTCCTACATTGACTTGCCCGCTTGTCTTTACAATTTACATTGAGCAGCATAGAAAGGGATGCTTTTTATTTTGGGAGATTAATGTTGACTAACAACTTCTTGGGGAAAATATCGAAGTAGTTAGTTGAACATATCAACATATCATGACATGGTCAACTCCTAAAAGAAGAGTAGAGTTCAGAGAAATGAACCAGAGTCATTTAATTTCTTCCAAAATCGCACACACCCATTGATAGTGAATGAATAATAATTAATTAAACTGGGACAATAAATTAGTTTTATTGTAATAAACCCGACCAAACCAAGTCATATACATAAAATCAATGAAAAAGAGGGAAGAGAAAGCAGAGGAGTCATTCTCTGCAAGCAAAACCATATGGATCATTGTTTCACTCTCCTTCGCTATTGTTAGTATTCCCCTGCCCCCCCCCCCCCCCCCCCATTTTCCTGATCTGGAAATGATGTTTTTCCTCTTTCTTTGGAATTGAAGTTAGTTCAAGATGGAGGGAAGAAACGATTAAGGTTGAAAGGAAGGGTGTAGAACTCCTCATTCCTGCTGTCTCCTTTAAATGTCCGAAACTTAACCCACCATGGCATTCCTCTGTCTCTGGCACTGTCCTTGTAGTCAAGTGTGTTGTCTAAGAAAACAGCCACTATCAATGCAACGGTTGGGGATGAGAAGAAGATAGTGTTGATGAAATCGTTAAACTGCACATCAAATAAACAAAAACTTTTAAGGTATGATTGCCCTATAATTGTCACGAAATGCCACTGCGCACACACTATAAGAACCCACATAATCTTTAGCCAGAAGAGTAGAGTTTTCATAGTGGATCGTATAACTTACCCATCCAGCTCTGGTATGAGCAGGACCATGATAGGCCTTGGCAGTGTATTCTCTGAAGTATTCTGGGACAGACAAACCAAGGAAGAAGGCAACTCCGGTGATGAAAAGGTTTCTCATCGAGTTCATGTTTGTGAATTGCAAGAATGACAACCCCACGGAAGCTGCAAGACAACAACGCTGTACCAATCAGTTACACAAATCATATGAACCTGCTAGAGAATCATAATGGTCACAAAAGAGAAGCCATTACTCACCAACAAGACCGAACAACACACAATAGACAGCAGCAAAAATAGGGAAGGGTATTGACGCAAATAAAGCTCCAAATTTTCCTGCCAGAAGAAGGTGGAAGATTTTTAATACAAGTTATAAGACTGGTTGTTTTTTTATTTGCAAATAAGCACATACTTTGCTGTATCTCTCACCTAAAATAGAGAAGAATATCATAAAACCAGCTGAAATTTGAATAACCCTGCGGCTTCCAACACGAGTGCTTCCAAGCAGCCCAATGTTTTCTCTGTTGTTTTTCTCAAATATTAGTACAGTTGCACAGAAGTGAGAACTTCAATAGAGTGATGAACCTATGCTACTTACACAGAGACCGTCGAGCCAGTCAATGTTCCAAATAGTCCATCCAATAGGATCCCAATGCCCTGCCATCCAATACCACGGCTAAGAACATGAGCTGGAGGTGGGGTGGCGCTCGCTAGACGTGATGCAGCTTTGTACGCTCCAGTTGACTGTCAGAGAAGTCATTAGTCTTACTTTCACTAACTGGTAGCATGAGATTGACTAACTAGTTTGTACCCTCACCTCAATCATTGAGACAAAAACAGCAGCCATCATTCCGAAACAATGACCGGCATCAAAGGTGGGAGCACCCCACTGAAGAGGATATGGGATCTTTATCCTGAATAAATAAAACACTTTAGGGTCAATACAGGTTGTAACAAAAGTTTGATTCGCAATCACAGCAATTGGGGGTTTTTCTGAGAGTTTGAATAGTTTGTTCTCATATTATATTGTCTTGAATCACATTTTCAATTTGTCATGTACTCGCATGTTCTTTTTTTCCTTTGTAACTGCATATGCTCGTATCTAGTAGCTCTGTGGCAATACTGGTCCCGAGACTAATAGAATTTTATTATATTGTCTAAATAAGAAATGCGCAAAACTTTTTAGTCCAAATATTCAAGAAAAGAGCGAGTTACCAACCATGGAGCAGAAGAAATGAGGTAGGCTTTATCAGTTCGACAGTTAATTTGCGTCATTTCTGGGCGATGTTTATATGCACCACTAGCTGTCAGAAGGTGTGCATATGCCCATATCACTGTGATTGATATAAGGAGAGCAAACCGCTCCAGTATTGGCAGTTGTTTTGTCTGAAAACCTTTCAAGTACTGCACGTGCAAAGCAAAATAAAACCAAATAAAAATTAGAAAGACTATAGGTTTTTTCTAAGTCGCTGAAAAAATAAAAGGTAGTTCCTGAGCTTATTGAAAAATTACTAACATTTTAGTCTCTTTATTCCTTAATATTGCATATACAAAACCAAGAGTGACTACATTTTAAATTCATTAATGTGTATCAGTTCCTGTGAAGCTAAAAAGTTCAAACTATAACAAAGGTTTTGAACCTGGGAGCAGATTATGAATAGGATAAGCATGGGAATGCCAATTTCTACACACCGTCCAGCCTGAAACGGATTCACAAAAATGCACAACAGTCAGAATAGAACAATGGCACAAAATCATCCGCAAAAGAAAAAGAAAATGGCTTTGAAATTGTCACGGTACCACAGGGAAGCCTCTATCAAACAGACCAAAACCTACTAATGCAATGACTGGAACCATTCCAAGTGGACTGAAGAATCTGAAAGTAAGATAAGATCAAAAAAATCAGCAACATATGTAATGCTTTTTCTGATTATGAGTTCGAGATTCCCTTGAAATACAGCTGTACTGTAGTAGTACCTGGAACAAATGGCCCACAATTGACTGTACCCCAGAATTATTTGTATGCTTGATGATACTATTAGAGCACCTTGGACTGCTCTCATTGTGCTAAGAAATCTCTAGACAAATACAAAATACAATTCCATTAGTTTTTGCTCTAAAGATGAACAGTCATCTGGACGAACTCCAACACTTTTTGTTTATTGGAGTGATCATGTCCAAATTCTTTCCCTCCAAACTAAAAACAAAAAACTGTGGATTGCGCGCTCGCTCACTCTATTAATTACACTGTCACTTTTGAATTTATATCACTGATTTGATTTGACTTAGATTTGGAAATTTTGGATACCCCACAGAGATATAAATGTCAAGACAATGTTGACTAAAAGGGCCTCTTGATCTTCTCGTTTCTCACGACGGACTTTTAAGTTATAAAGTGAGAGTTTTACTACTACTATAAAGAAATCAGAACTGTAAAAGAAGAGTAGAAAAATTAGACTAACCAAGTGATCATCAGGAATGGCCATCAAAGAAGGGTCATGAATTATGGACATAATGGGGACCATGAATGCATAAGACCCTCCAATTACGGTCGGTAAACGCGTCCCAAACAGTGTTTGCAGAAGTGTGTTGAGCCCTTCAACAAAAAGTAGAGTCTGTACGACCCTTACTTTATCACCCTGAAACGCATCATATTAGCCCAAAGAAAATAAATAATTAAAAGAGGTTACAAAAAAGGAAATTATCATTTTAATTTGGCTTCTTCGAGTTCAAAAGTTTCCTTCACGGGTCTAATCTACTTGAAGTACAAAGGATTGGCAAGTTCCTTCAGGTCATACATATGGCCAATGCGTGAATTTTTAAAGCAGTGGATACATAGAAATCAGAAAGAAGTGATAGTAGAAATTGACTCACATAATTACCACCCATCAAAGGAACAAGAAATGAAGGGATCATAACAGCAGTTCCTAAAGCCAAAATATAATGCTGAAAACCCAATGCTATAGCCTCTCCTGCTTCCACAAACACCAAGTTAGAAAAGAAGAGACAAGAACAAGCTAAAAAGACATGATTTTTGAAAAGGAAAAAAGAAAAGAAAAGAAATGGACATACCCCAAGATGGATTGGAATCAATACAATACTCTAAGCCTTGAAGTTGGTCCATTGGAGGGTGACTTATCTCTTCTGGTTTTGGATCAGTTGCCATTGCTTAAAACCCGCAAAACCACTCTTGTTTTACTAGTTAAACTCAAAACTCAAAAGTGTATCTACTAAATGAATCAAAGAATTGATAGATAGACAATTAATTAGCAAGGCAGAAAAAAAGAGACACTCTCAGGTGATGATCTCAAGGGTCTTCGCTTACCTAGCTAATGTGAGTAAAGCAAACAAAGGAATGCAATTTGATTGACTGAATAAGAAAAGAAAAAGAAAGAAAGATAAAGCAAAAAAGGGGTTAAGGAGGGAGAGAGAGAGATAGAGAAAGGCAAGAAAGAGTACAAATTGAGAGAAAATTAAAAAAATGGCAGTTGCCGCCCACTAAACTTGCCTTTCTTTCTTTCTACAGGGTTTATGCATATCTATATTTATGTGCTTTGCTGCTTTTCTTAATAATTTTTTTTTGCAAAACCAATAGTTTCCGTTAACTTTTTCCTACATTTCCTAAACTGCCCTTGAAGGAACTGCCAAACTGAATATTACCGTTGCCTTACTGCCTCTCTGTTCCTAATAAACTGAACAACTCATCAACTTCAACTCATGTAATAAATGGGACTCTTTGTGCATGCAGATTTATTACCATAAAAAGGAAAACTAAATAAATAGTAATAAATACAAGTGGGCTCCTCTGCCATACGTGTAACTCAGAATGTTCGTACTCCATTTTTTATGATATGGAATATCTGCCTTTTACTCTAAATTGGAGTCTATTTTCAGGTTTGGTCAAAGGACAAGTGAGCAAGTGCGTTGTTAGTGTGAACTCTTAATTAATAATCCTTGATTTGTAATATCTAATATTGTTCTTTCTATGATGGATGTTAAGATAGAGAATATGAATGAGTATCAACCAAAAAGCAGAACTTTTTCCTCTTGGGCAAATAAGAGATGGGATCATCCTTGCCTTTTCTTTCTTTTCTTTTCTTTTATTATTTTCTTTTTGTTTCGTGTGTTATTAATTGAGAAAATAAAGTTGCGATGACCATTGCCCATGTTATCTCAGTTCACGTTTACGAACTACATGTGTATGCATACACAGGGTTTGGTGGACCCTTCTTTATAGTAAAGTCATGGCTATTTCTTATATATATTGGAAGCTTTTTTAAAGTATTCGAAGTTATGAAGTCAAGAAAATAAGAGTTATTACATGTTTTCGTACTTGTATCTGTAGTTGTTTGATACATAGATCGATCGATATTAGATATTGTCTTTGGAATATATATATATATATATTAGAAGATACAGAAATTAAGTGGATTGTTAATGATTCTACAAATGCAAACAATGGGAAAAAAAAACACTAACATACAAAAACATCTAGAACTACACCAATAGTAATTTCAACAAATGTCCAAAGAAAATAGATGCTTTTTTTTTAATATATACAAAGTATTTTAGATTTAAAAATTTAAAATAATTTTTTATTTTTGTAACGACGCATAAGATGAAGATAGTTATTAAAAGATTTTTTGCATATCTAAAGATTTAAAATCGAGATTATTTATTTAAATGATTAGAATTTTTTTCTCTTACGTCAATCATCTAGAATAAAAATATATATATAAATGTTTTGAACACATGTAATATATATTTAACAGGACTTGGGTTGTAATTTATATATTATGATCTAAAAAAAGTAAAAAAAAAAAAAAAAAATTAAAGAACCGAGTTTGGGGCAATTCTAGTATTGTCATTTTCTTTTCTTTTTAGGAATTGCGGCAGCAAAATTGTTGCTCTTCCACCTCAAAAGTTGCACTTTACTCGTAGTCCTTGTAGATTAAAATAAGCCAAATGAGAAAGGGAGAGAAGAAAACATAAATTATTCGCTCTCTACCCATTTTCATGTCTCCATCCGTCTTCTTCATTGTACGTAAAATCACACTAAGAATTTAATTTCATATTTACAAGCTTAATTACTATAGGTAAGAAAATAGTTATATTGGTGAGATTCTAGTGCTGTTGCCATTTTCTCCAAGTATATGATACTTTCATTATTATTAACGTGAAACCTATAAAGAGAAAAGGAGAAATTAAATTAGATGGTTTATAGTCAAGATGAAACATAGAAATTAAATTAGTACTAAGACAGTACCATTCACTAATTCACTACCAAAAAAAAAAGTGTCATTCATTTAAAAGAAATGGATGTAGGAGCCATTTTAAAAAATAAAAAATAAAAAAAATGAAAAACAAGGACTGTCAGCTGGATGTATAATTGAGATGAATCCATGAATTATTATATTTAAGCCAAGCAAGTCTAAGAAAAATATAGTAAATATTTATAACCTAGTCCTTGTTGTTTACGAAAAATAATTAATTAATCCTTATAGTAACCAAAATAAATAAATAGTCCATTGACTAGCTTTTAATCAATTACTTCCCTTTTCCTTTTCCTATTCCCTAACAAAATAAGTTCGAAAGGTGTAGAAAATTGATGAATGTACTGAGTTATTAACCGATTTGAAATAAAAGATAAAGATCAAATAAATAGTTTATGAAACCAAGAGAACTAATTAATTAATTTTGTTAAACTATAGGTACTAAGTTCTGATTAACTTAAGAAAAATATCAAAATTATAATTATAGCATCTCTTTCCAATTATACCCATGAGATAAGATAAGGGAAAGTCATGTACTATCTATCTTTACTCTGCTTTTTTTTTTTTTTTTTTTTTTTTGGGTAGCTTTTGTACCTGAAACAGTTAAACTAGCGATTTATAATAAACAGAGACTGACTAGGATCCAACGTAGACATTTTTCGAATCTCTAACGTCTCTATTTCTATGCCAAGACAAAGAAATTTTTCAGCTTTTCACTGCTCTGATCTGCATGCCATAGTGGCTTCAGCATTTGTGTGCCTCAAAATCAGTGGCCCTGTGTAATAGTCAACCAGAACCAGACTACCTCTACCACCACCTGAGCTGAGGTGAGCTAACTTTCAAGGAAATGCAACGGAAGGGAAGAAGAAGCACGAACCATAGGATTTTTTCTGAGAAGGAGCATCTTCTACTGCATTTCGGTTACTTACACTGCTGCTAGTTTCCAAACATTGTGTACGTTTTTGACAGTTTCAGGTACGTTCCACGGTAGACAACGCAAGTAATGATGATACCTTCTTCTTTTTTTTTTCCTGGTCGCATCACCTATCTCTGCAATATGTTTTTTTGTTTTTTTTTTCTCTGCCAGTTCCTTAATTGCCCCGTACTTCACATGTCCATCATTAGTCTAATAATAATAAAATTTGAACTTATTAAAACTTCTTAGTTCTTCATCATGTGACGTTAGGTTTAAATAAATAGTTGATATGTCTTGATTTTGAATGGCAATGTACCGCATATATAGCTTTGCTGTCTGTTTAATCAACATTGCAACAATCAATACCTTCATTGATTTCATCATAAAATAAAATCAATCGCTGATAATTCATTATGAAATCTTCATTTATCGTTATAGATGTAATCTCATGTTCATGCCCTATTAACAATTTCATAAACATATCCAAACTTATTTGATATATATATATATATATATATATATATATATCAACTCTCGTATCCAACCATTTCCACCCGACCTATTTAACATGTTAGAAATTTATATAAGTTAAATGGGATGTCCATATTTATCCATACCCAATTAATTGAAATGAATATACAGAAAATTAGTAATTTCCAAAGCCCAATTAAAGTAATTACATTAAATGGGTATAGATTATAGAATGTTGGTATTGATGGAGTATTTTTCATATAAACGAATTCTCATTTCAGTTACCCAAGAGTCTCATCCATACCATTAGGAACTAAAGAATTTCAAAACCATCTCCTAACTATTTGGTACGACCACAGAGCATCAACCAAGTATGCTCTGATATCAAACAACATCAATCCTCCATGGCTCCATAAGCATTTTTTAAGTGAAAATTTGCCCTAACAAGCTTGGTCATAACTCCAAGCTTATATAACAACCTCAACTATACCATTGGAAGCAGTAGTAATTTGCCTATATAATAAATAATAGTTAATTTTAGAATCCAATCAAGGAACGAGCAGTCTCTCTACTTCAAATTCTTGTATGTTCATAAAAAAACGTTCCATGTTTTTATACATCCAGAGAAAATGCCTATTCTTTGAATCCCTCCATTATATAGAGTACGACAGTGGTATGTTTCTAGCTACGAGAAGCTCCTTAACGTACATGCAACAGTCAGTTATGTACGCAACTCTAGACTAGGAAAAGCAGACTTTAGGAGTTCGCGAAAGAATTTCCTGTAAATGTGAGAAAACCAAAGAGCATTATTTGGTTACAAAAAGGATACTAAAAAACATAAAAGTTGTTCCTTGGACACATAGACCCAAAGTTGTTTTTTGAGATTCTCAAAAGTTGAAGAAAATGGATAATCGTAGTAGGATTCAGATTTCCTGTACATTCAATGAAAAGCATTCAACTGTCAAAATCACCAGCCTAATTACTATATGGTAACAGTCAATCGTTCATGCATATGGTATCAATGCTAGGCTTAAAGTTCCTTTTGCCAAAAACATCAAGATCCCATGTAATTGAGATATGTTTCCCTTTCGCACACACCATAGTAGTGGACTAGCCTCTATTCCTACGCCGGACAAGAATCATGGTATAGGAGCCAAAAAGTAGTAAGGTGCTACTTTAGCCAAGTAACGTCGACTGGGAATCTCAAACTAACAATGCAATGACTAGAATCAACAACCACACATCTTATTACAATGGAACTACATTTATGTAATCATGCTATAATGAAATAAAATCTTTTCATGCATCCGGGAAATGGGTGGAGGCAAGAATAATTTTGTCGAGTGGCCACGGGCCTTTTCTGTTGGCGATGTTGATGGGCTAAGGTAAATGAAATGAGGAATAAAAGACTACTACCAGGGAATATGACTCTGGAAATGGCATTCGAAATAGAACCATGTAACGGTCTTGCCATGCCAGCTTTAGAATTATTTCCCTCAGGGTTTCCTTTCGGCTGGATTTTTGGCATGTACATATAAAGGATGATTCTGACTTGAAATAAAGTGATCGATCATGAGTGCGCATTCGTAATCAATCCAAAAGGTTAGTTTTCCAACGACCAATGTTCTTGCTTGAGTGTTTGCTTTCTGGCGATTTGCCTTTTATTAGACTAGGGTCAAAGGGGCTACCTGCCAGAAAGCGAGGGAAAGCTGGAGGGCAAAAAACTCACTTTTCTACGCAGCACAGCTGTGCCCCAATTGCATCACCTTCGAGACTACACCTGTATGAGAAGCCTGCAACAAGCACCTGTTAAGAAATATTCATTCCTGCCACTGGTGACTAGAGCACTATACAACCAACAATGATATATACCTCCTGATTGCTCACTGCAAAAATCAGTCAAAACTGAAATTTCACCTGATCGCATACACATGGGCAGCAAGCAAAAGAAGTTGAGCTCATGCTATAAGCTATATTACATTTCAACTTCTGCTGAAAATCACAAAAATTAGATTTAAGTTGCAACTAAATACAATTTTCTTTCACAAAAATTAGTATGTGAACAAGAACAAAGCAATGTTAATTTTGTCCATCCCCAAAATGGTATATATAGTGAATTCTCTGCAGAAGAGTTTGACAAAATATGCTCAAGATCTTCTTTCCAACTTCCTTTCTCCAGATCTTTTTTCTTCTGCCTCTCGCCGTTTCTGCTGCCTGCGATCCAAGATGAAAATAGATCACTACGCATCATCAATTCCTTGAACTTGAAAGTTGGACACAACAAAGAAAGTTCTAGTCACATCGTAAATTTGCACATTATAGTTGTACTCCTTTTATATATTAGTAATTCTGCAGACCCTAGTGACATTTTTGAATGGATAAACAGCATTCTGCTCCCAAAGTCACATAGCTGGAATATTTTGTGGCTGTTTGGTAGCATTTGGAATCCTGTCATGATCGGCAATTGCTATCAAAAAATTAAATTTTTCTTCATTTTTTATTTTCCGGAAAGCTTTAAATAATAAATTTTGCTCTAAGTAACCAATGGAACATTATAAATTTCTCACCACAAATTTATAGCTCATACCCAACTTTCAATCTTAATACCAAACCCACCAGAAAACTCACTCCCCTGCAAGGTCAGGTTGTCCATCTACTCCAACTAATAGATATGCAAAACAATCAAAGCAATCCTATGGGCCTAATCAACTCATTTCTGTCATCATATCAAAGCACTTAAACATAAACTCAAGGGCATAGAAGGGTGGGGAAAGGTGCTGAAAGAAATATGAGCAAGAATATATGGTTCAAAGGATTTAATTGAGCTTACACAAAACCTGTGTATCCAGAACCAACATTAGCTGCAGATAACAGTGCTGCTTGAGCTGCTGCTGCAGCTAAAGAATCCTGTCCACCAGTTGGTAAAGGATTCCTTCCATCACCATCCACCTGAAAGCAAATAGAATAGTCAAAATGCCAGTTCTTCAACATTAGCCAATCATAAGGTTGCATATATGAGCTGCATGCAAAGATTATAACCTTATCCCATTTTGACTTCTTGTTCTGTCTACCTTCGCGAGGACCTGGGTCAGCTGCATTTGAAGATGAATGAATCCCACTAGCAGAGACAACTGAAACACCAGAAAAATCAACTCAGGTTAAGAAGACCATTATAAAATGCAACATTGAGATGCCATAACGAAAAATGATCTCATAAAATCAATGTCTACAGTCAGAATCTTTTTAGGACCTGGAATAGGCACACTGAACTTTGTTGGAGGTATAACCACTCCAGGCTGAGTCCCCCTTGAACAAATTCAACCTTTGGACTTCTCTTCAACTCTTGCTCCTTCCTCTCCCTTTCACGCCTCATATCAGCCTCTGCTTTCCAAATATACTAAAGGTCATTGCCACGAAATTACGTTTGATGAAAAGACAACTCTAATTGCAAACAATTTAGGGTTTCAAAAGACAACTTTGGGAAAAAAACCATAACAGAAATTGATTCAGCAAAGAAAACTTTTCAAATTCCAAATAAAGGCATACTGCAGGCCATTATCTGAGAAAATCTTCTACCAAGCCAGAAAACTAAGTCTATTCGTTTATTAGGGAGGGAAAAAAACTTAAATATCCAACAAATGAAAGAAAAAAAATTAAAATTCCATGAAATGTTAGGTTTCATCATACGAGTCGTGTGGTTGATGTATGAAAAAGTTATGGCAAGCAAGGTAAATATTAAGGCGTGAAACCACATACATGCAAAAAATTAATGTTGGATGTGATGAGCAGCAAGAAAGAATTAGAGAACGGGTGACTGGTATTTTAAAAATGCATAAGGTCACATGATTTTCTATTTTTGAAGAAATGGGTAGAAGAAACCACTAGTTTCTTCACATTACCAAGGAATTAAATCCCCTAATATCAAAATAAGTGCAGCTTTGCAGTTTAAAAACCAAAGCTTCAGTAGTTTTCTTCTGTTACAAGTGCATTTAAAGGAACATCAAAACCATATTAGAAAATACAAGTCAGAGACAGTAAAAGAACTGTGGAACACCAAAACACAAGATTTTCATAATTAACCAAATTACAAGTGCATTTAAAGGAAAACCAATACCATATTAGAAAATACAAGTCAGAGACAGTAAAAGAACAATGGAAAGAACTGGTAATAACCTAGGTCAAGATAGTAGTCGCTTTGGTCATATCCATGAGGGTCAAATACATCTTTACTGAAGCAAGACCCTATCTGATCAATATCTTGATACCTCACTGCATGCAGTAAGAAGTCCGGGTTCCTATAATCCTTCCTATTGCGGACTTCCGCATTGAAGCTTCTCCCAATTTTTTTCAAAGCAAGAAATTTATCAATTTTTTTCTGCAAATAGCATAGCATGAAGAGGAGAAATATGTCAGAGCATGTAAAGTGTGCTACATATTGTAATCACAAATCAATCATAGTATGCTACATCATCTGAATACAAAAAACACACAGTTCATTTTATATTCCAAGAAATATCATGCATTCTTAAGTTTGGAGAAGAACTTTGATTCAACCAACATAGGAGGGATCAACAAGGCATTTTCTAACATATTCACAGCAGCAAACCAGCATAGGAGATCACCCAAGGATTGTTGAAGATTACTCATAGTAGCCAAACTGTAAAATGTGACCCAAACTGCTTAAACAAAACAAGATAGGCGAGAATAATTTCAGAAAATGAAGGATACTACTGTGAGGTACACTCTGGAATGTCCTGCAATAGTTTCAGATTCTAAAGTGAAAATTAGCAATGTGCTTCTAAATGACCAGATCTTTCAATCACAATGAACTGAGGAGCAATAAATGATAATAGCATCCTACTCAGAATGTCCTCAAAAAAAAAAATGGCAAAAGCGCTAGAGATAGCAAAGTTATAAAGCACTTATTGACAAAAGGTGTGAAAGAAACTCACTTGCAGCTCCTCTGGACACTTCTCTTTTGGTGGTGGGGGGAGAAATTTATCCAACAGATTAACACCCTCTGCAGGAACCTCATTAGCACCTTCAGTGTTGACAGCGTCTGATTGACTAGTGGTATCATTTATTTCACAGGGTTGTGAAGTCTCTAAATGTTCAGATGATTGAGGAGTTGCTCGAACACTAGGAGATAAAATCTGAGCAGCTCCTGGAGACAATTTTTCTTGGATGACACCTGTTACAAACAAATTTAACAAATAATCAGAATAAGGATTCTAACTACAAAACAATAAGCACCTTGAAGTTGCCTCATTTCATAGTAATTGCATGCAAATTATAAAACATTAGTCCAACAAAAAATGCAATGTGAGCAGGAGCATTTTGTTACGTGTAGTCGTAGATGCATTCATTCATCTTAACAGTCAATTTCTGAGAACACTCATAAACAACACTTGTTCTCAAAGCAAAATAGCATTAGATAGTATGCAACGTAAGAGGAAAATTGGTAACGTAGACATAAGCCATAAAAAAATTTATTTGTCCTATTAAGTCCTCATAAAATAATAACTAACCTAAGTCCTCCTTCAACAATGTTCTCTCAGTTAAAACCAACTGTCTACCAACATGCAATCAATGGGGGAATAAACTTTAATGGTTTACTATGAACAAAATGATTAAAATTGATCAATGAATCCGTACATAAACAACTAAACTGTGAGAAAAGCGTACCATTGGCACTTTGAAGCTCCTCTTCAAACTCCCCTTCCTGCAAAAGCAATAACCCAATTAATCGCAAAACAACAACAAAATTACCACAGAAACCAGCACACGGACATAGAATTTAAAATCCAAAGGAATTACATTACCTCAGGTTCAGGAGACATGGCAACTTCATCGTGACCATAATCAACAATAGCAAATCTCCCTCTCCTACTACTTCTTTTCGTCTCCAAACGAACACCCCCTCCTTGTTGTTGTTGCTGCTGCTGCTGCGGCGTCAAAGGCCTTAAAAGTCCTCCTTGAGGAGTTGAATTTCGACTATTGGTAGCTGCTTCTGCTTCTTCTTCGGTAACCATGGCTGTATCGTCGTTCAAAGAATCCTCCTCCATGTCGTTGGATTGGTCAAGTTGGTGTGTTGGTTGTTGGTTGTTGAGATCTTCCATTTCTTCATCGTCTTCTTCGTCGTCGTTGTACACTGAGAGTAATGCGATTCCTTCTAATTGTTTCTTTCTTGACGCCATGATTGAACTTTTAGGGTTAGGGTTTTCTTCAAATTTGTAAAAAGAGGAAGATTTTAAAGTTGGGATTTTGAAGTTGGTTCTATTAGTTTGTAAAACCGATGATTGATTGATTGATTGTTGTAACAGTGAAATCAAAATTAGGGATTTTGGTGCGGAAATTATTTTGACGCTGCAGATTGAAGCTGAGAGAAAGTGAGTAGCAACTGAGTGACAGAGAATTTGATTAGAAGGGCGGGCTTGGGATTTTTCACTATCAAGAATTTTGATTTTGGGTCTTATGAACCAGGTGTAAAGTCCAGCCCAATAAATTAAATGGATAAAAAAGTTTGAGGTCGGAAGCCCAAATGTTCATTTGTTTGTAAGGATCTTGTCGATCCACCCCGGCGAAGGAAAATGAAAGGATAGAAATAGCTATTTCACCCAAGGGATCCAAACCAGCGATCATGACTGATTCAATAACAGAAGCTGGAGGGCTAGGATTTGGGTTATGAACTTGTAAGAGATATATATGAGATGTTACGAAGTGCAGATATCTTTAGTTGAATGTAATAGGTTGAAGTCGGAGGTATTTTTAGAATCGATCAAAAAAATTTAATCATACAAACGGCTTCGAAGATATTTTTATTATTAAATAAAAAATAAAAATAATATAATGTAATATAATTGTAATATTAACCTTGTGGTAAAGTTGTAGATTTGTATATATACTTAATAGGACCGGTACCAAACAAGAGTATTTATCAGAAACCTTGACCTCACTAATGAGTGTATTTTTGTAATCTATATCTAATCCAACACAAACGAGATATGCTTCACTTGATAGACTCGGCTAGATACACCTGGGCCATTATGATTATTGTTTTAGAGATTTAATTATTATATGCAATTATCATTTAATATTTTTTTATTCTACAAAGGAAATATTGAATTTGTAAGCTATTACTACAAGAAATCAGACAATTAGTGACGAAAATTAGCAACAACTAGCCAATCATCTTTAGTTTGCGATGGATTTATTAAATAATTTTAAACGGAATTGCATCAATATTGTGACAAAAAAATAGCATTACACATTGTTTTTAGAGAAAATGACTGAATATATCTTTATTTTTTTAAAAAAAAAATTATTTAAATTAAATATAAAAAAAGGATTAAGATCAAAAAATGAGTAAAAGAATGCGATTAAAAAAAATACAAATTAACACAATTTGTCTAACTGTTAATCAAATATCGAGATTAAAATATAAACCAAACTTAGAAAGATGAATTTAAGGGGAAAAAAAAGAGAGAGAGAGAGAGAGAGAAATACAATAAATACAAAAGAAAAAGAAACTTATGTATCCATTAACTCGAAAAATCGCAGATAAAACAATTAGATTATACTTAAAGAAGTTATAAACTAAGCAGGTGTGAGTGTATATTTATTATTTTCATGGAATAGAAGCTAATAAGTCAGTGCCGATTAGATTAGTATGAACTAAGCTGGTTGCATGCTGCTAAGAATATTACATTTAGCACTTATAAAATAACTCAAGATTGCTACATATGGATGCAACTCTGTAATTAGTATTTGTGAAATTGTCATCGATCAAAGTGCCACAGGAGCCATGTCCGGCCTGTGGAGGAGACGAAGAGGGAGTGAGGGTCTCCCTACCGAGCACGGCATCGCTAGGTTCAAATCGATACCATCCCGTATTGTCACTGTCTCGATACACTTGGAAGTGCTGCATTTACTATGGTTAATTGATTTGAAATCCATAAACTTGTAAGAACCACATCCAATTTCCAAGATATAGTCAAAGCATTTTAATTTCTGTTTACAGTTTGTTGATTCATCCATATATCACTGTCTCCTTTAACTTTTCTCATAAATGTATAGCCAGCTGATGGATGGAGAGAAGAAATACTTGCGAGAGTGAAGCTGCTTTTGCTTTAGTTTTCCAATGCCTTTGATGATGATTACTTGTCGCTCAACACATATAGTTCCAACCAACTTTTTTAAAATGTCTCAACTTTAGAAGATTCACTGATCTGATCGATGAGTTTGTGCAAAATCTATTGCCTATTAGCATTGGATTACCGATAGTCGTATTCTTTTTTCTTTTTCAGAATGACCTAGTCAGGGTCAGGGATACCTATCTACCTCTTTTTACACTGAATGATAGTTTATGCAAAGTGGGCACAGTCACATTTTTGTCTCGCTTCACGCACACTTTGGTACTCTCTGCTTTAAAGTCAGGAAGTTTCTTAATACATGCAAATTAATGGTTGTTGGTAGAAACTCTGTTTTGGCTTCTTTTATATATATATATATATGTAGTCCCTTCCTTTTTCCTTTCTCTGTAGCATATTTTACAACTCTTCTCTTTCATTTTATCCTTACTATGCTTTTGTATATTTATAGGGAAAAAAAAAAGAAAATTATAGAAGACAATATAAGACATTGTCAAGTTTTAGGTGAAATTGCAAGCATTTTCAATTTTATTTCTAGTTAGACCATCCTTTCCGAGTCTTACAACTCACTCAGCCTCTAATAAATTTATTTTTTCCATATTTCGGATGTGTTGAACTCGTGTTAATTTTATTCTACTCACAAAGAATCTCAAGAACTTACCCTCTAGATAACAAACCCATATTTGGAGAGATTTAGTTTCATCCAGGATCCATGAAAGATCAAAAACACCTACTGAAGATCTCGAATGTCTTTCTCTCTCGAAGCTCATGCTTTTGATTTTTGATTTTTGATTTTTTTTTAAAAAAAAAACAGCTGGACATTTGTTTGTATTTCACTATTTGAAACTAAATTTTTTTAAAAAAATTAAGTTGAAAGTAATTTATGTTAAAATATTTTTTTATATTATATATAAAGGTATTCCAAACAAAACACTTAAATATTGTGATATTAAAATATCTTAAGGTAGTGATAAATTTACGAATAGAATTGTTATTTTCATCATTTTTTACACAATTACTAATATATTTTTCACTAGTTACAAATAACTATTGTATAATAAATAGTAATAAAAGATGTGATTAGTAATTTTAAAAAAAAATGGTGGGAACATCAATTTTTTATTTTTTATTTTTTTATTTTTATGTCTATCCTCTGGACTAGCATTACAAAATAGCTCATCTTGCATTCTGAACCAACATGCATCAGCTTTTTAAAAAGTGGAATTAATTTACCAGAAGAACTATTAAAAAACTTGTTGCCATGTGCTGCAAGGTATCTGCATCCCTCTAATTAACCTAGCTAGCCATTAGTCATTCCAAATTATTTCACAAAACATACTCTCACATTTCTTTCTTTCCTTGTTATCTTAATAATCGTAGCATCCTCATGTCAGATTTCACGTACCGATTCTTTTTTTCTAAGTTGTGTCCCTGTTGATGCTTAGCTAATTAGAAATTTTTGAGTAACTTGGATCATTTAGACCCAAAAACTCGAATGTGATTGGAGGAATTGATGGGCATATTTGGCTTTACTGGAGTCGACGCTGACTGAAAAGTGCATGCCATCGACAAAATTGCCTTCAAAATCGATTTTTTTCCAAAATTTTTCTGAGTCGTAACGTGTTAAGTAAGCAGTTTATCAGCAGATGGAACGTGTAACAGCCACAAAATCGAAGATCAAACCAAACCGGTCCCTGCTGAATATATGTAAATGATCAGAGACACTTGTTCTAGGCTAAGACCACGGAACTGGAAAAGGACACGCATGGCCATGGAGCATCCATTTCTTTTTTCCTTTGCAAAAACAAAAAGGAAAATCCACATCAAAAGAAGCAAAAGAAAAATATAAAACAATTAAAGATCGAATAAAGGGAATAAAGAAATCAATGAAAAGGCAAACAAAGAATTGAAGAACAGATTAAAGAAAGGCTTATGGTTTAAGAAGAGACAAATCAATAAGTGGGATTCTCTGACCTCTCTGTTCAACCTAAACAACAACACTTCTCCAACCATTACCTCCCCTTACCTTACCTTACCCCCACATCCTTTGTTTCCTTTTCGTTTTCATTTTTTTTCCTTTTACTTTTCTTCAGAAACCCTTTTTTTCTCTTTAAATTTTTGTCTATACATACATGACCAGAATAAATAAAACACACAAAAAAGCTAGAATTCTCGACAAGACACGGTCTCTTGCAAATTAGCTTATATTCCAACCCCATTTCACTTCATAGCGCGTGCAAATCGCTTCACATTTTCACCGATCGAAACGTGCCATTACCGAGTCTGTTGGTCTCCCATGGCGGGAACACTTGACTCGGGGTCTCTCAACTCAACACCGGATGTATGTCTTTGAGCAAACCCAAAACTTGCTGCATGGTGGGCCTCTTTGCAGGCACCTCAGCCGTACAAAGGTACCCAACTCGGAGGCACTCAACCATCTCGCTCGCTGACTCACCGCTAAGTCTCAGCCTCGAGTCTAGCGCGTCACCACCACGCCCTTCTTTCACAAGCCTCCTGATCCTCTCCACATTCTCTACGCTCCCTTGCTGACCCGTCATTAACTCGATCAACACAACACCAAAACAATACACATCAGACTCCAATCCACAACCTTCGTTATCGAACCCGGGACTTTTGCTCTTTGCACCGACATTTCTAAGTCCAAAATCAGCAACTCGGGGTTCAAGGTGCTCCGAGAGGAGAATGTTGGACCCGACGAGGTGGCCATGGGTGGATCCCGCATGGTGGAGATAAGCAATTCCACGCGCGACCCCGACGGCGATGCGGTGGCGCGTGAGCCAGTTAGTTTTTTCTTCAGGAGAAGCAATGTGGGGCCCGTGGATGTTTTGATTCTCCCACGTGTCAGTGCTCCAGTCCTCCACGTTTGTTTTCAGTGTGGGAAGCTCGTGGAGCCAACGGTGGAGATCTCCGTTGAACATGAACTCGTACAGTACGAGCTTCTCTTTACCTGGTATAAAAATTAGGAAACAAGAAGTTAAAAAATAATAAATAAATAAATAAAATAAAACGATGAAGTAGTGGAGCATTAAAAATTTTTGGGCTACATCCATAACGTGTTGTCAATTTTGTATCTAACTATTTTTTTAATAAATTTTATTATTAAATTATTTTGATTTCTTAATAAAACATTTATGTATGTTAGAATTGCTCAAAAAATATCAAGTTTTCTATAAAATAACATTGTTTATTACAAAAATAAAAAAATAATTTATACAAGAAATATAGACGGAAAACCTTAAAAAAATTAAAGAGAAAAATTGATTAAAAAAAAAAAAAGTGCGACGATACTATTAAAATAAGCTATTCAATTGGGTGATATAAAATTTTAAGAAAAAATAAAATTAAGACACAAGAAAATGTTAACGACTTAACCATGTTTCCATCAAGGTTTAGTGCGTGTGCCTAATGCCACTGGTGATTTTCAGTAACTGGTAGAAAATAGAAATGAGCCATTGGTCTGAACCTTTGTTTTTTACGTTGGACATTGGGTGAGAAACTAATTAGGTGCTCTAGATGTTTTGAAAAAAAAGCAGCTTTTAGAGGAATAGCAGGAGGAGAACTTCACCCAATGGTCAGAGCCTACAGAGACAGAGAGAACACAGATGCTCAAAATTTTCAAAATCTTTGCCCGAATCAGGGAACCTCCAAAAATATAATCACGAACTTCTAAATGTGTAATCATGGCTACTGTTAGATTTGGAAGTCACAAGGGCCTACGCTATAAACTACTCAGTACGACAGCCGAAGCTCTGAAGTCTGAACCCTAGAATTTAATTTACAACCCGTGAGACTAATAAATAGCCACTTGTAAATCGAAGATTAAAACTTAAAAAAAAAAAAAAAAGAGTACAGGTATTATACCTGCAATGCAGTACCCACAAAGGGGTAAGAGGTTGGGGTGTTTCAGTCTGGAGATATTTTCAAAAATTGCAACTGCATCATCATGCTCAAGGTCTCTTGCATTCTCCAATACTTTGATTGCCACGTGGAGGTCTCCTGGTAGGACAGCCCTATAGAGGGGTCCACACCTGCCCTCTGCTAGGAGAGAGTCTTTGCCAAAGTGTGAGGTGGCAGCAATCAAGTCCTTGAAAGTCAAGTTCATCAACGGCTTAGATGACATGATCACTGGTGCAGATGTTGGTTCTTTAATGTCTGCCACCCATGATGATCCTGACTCGGTTTCAAAGCTGAACGGCCCTGATTTGTCCATCTTGAATGTGAACTGGACAGGTTTAGAGATTGCCCATTTGTTTCTATTTGCAATCTTTCGTCTTCTGCGCATGCAAAAGACACAAAAAGCAACAGAAACAAACAGAAATGCTGACGTTGATGAGACGCAAATGACCAAAGTTTTGGTTTTTGATTTGGGCTTGGTTTTTTCGGCGTGCATGTAAATTGGTGGGTATTTTTTTATGGTTTGCTTGTGAGGTTGAGTTTGATTTAAATGTGGCTTATTGATGGGATTAGTTGGGTTTTTTGAGGTATTGAAAGTTAAACTACCACCACGACTAAAAGCAGATTTTCCAAATTTGTTGTACTTGTCAAAGCCAACATGTCCATAGAAGTTGTTTAGTGAAACATTCAAGAACTTGAGGCCGTCTAAGGGAGGGAAATCAGAAGGGAATTTACCATTCATGGTGTTGTTCGAGACATCCAAATACTTCAATGATTGGAGACCTGAAATGACTCTTATGTTGCCTGAAATTTTGCAGCTTGAAATGTTGAGAGACTCTAGCTTGGTCAAGTTAGCGAACCCAGAAGGCAAAGAACCTAAATCATTATGAGAGATATCAAGAACCTCCAAATTTGCAAAACCAGAGAGTTTAACCAAGTTGGTGAACCTGTTGGTTGAGAGATTGAGCACTTTCATCATTGATGAAGACGAGCCATTAATTCCAAACTCAATGCTCCCTCCAAGCCTATTCTTGGACAGATTGACTTCACTTAGGCTTTTTATAGACCAAAACCAAGCTGGCACCTGACCATGAAGAGAATTGCTGGAGAGATCAATTATGCGCAGTTGGGACATGTTCTTGAGATACTTCCAAGAAATGCTACCACTCAAGTTTCTTGAAGGAAGTTTTATTTGTGTTATAGAAGGATGAGAACAGTATGAAGTTGAACCAGCATGTTGAAACCAAGAAAGATTGAAACCAGAGACAGAACTAAAGGCCTTCGCGACCAGTTCTCGGTCTGTACTGTTGCATGTAGATTCTACAAACACAAGCAGCGAAAAGACGAGCAAAAACCTGCAAAACACTTCCATTTTTTTGCTTCACAGCATCATGTATCAACCCCTGTCACTTCTGTTTCCCATACAAGAAAGAGGGGGCTATTAAACAGCTAGAGAGAATGATATGCAAAGAAAGAAGGCTAGCTAGGCTAGGTTTCTTGTCTCTTGGTTTTATTGGTTTTGTCAATGGAGTAAGACAAAAAGGTTGAGTCTTTTTGTTAGTGAAGTAGGAAGTAACGGCGTTAAGTTGGTAACGGGACAGTTAAGAGCGTGTTGAAATGTCGCAGTAATTCTTAAACCAGGGAAGAAGAAAAGAATTTGGATTTTGTCCTTCAGTTTTGACCGTTGATATGTCGACAGTGAGTCTTGACTCAAAAATGAAGTCTGAAAATTACCCGGTTAGTGATGCGGTGATTGCTGAAGAGAGGTAATTTTACAGTAACATATTTACACACATGGTAAATTCGGAGATTTACGAGGTTGAAAGTTTTGAACTTCGATTATTTTTTCCTTTGTTTCTCTTCTATTGTTCGTTACTACATCGGTTGGAATTGCCACAAATAAAAATAGACTTGTGGCAGGCAGCAAGGGTATGGTTGTGTCTTTTTCCTACCAGTTTCTTCAGCCCCATAAATGTATGTCACCTCCCCAATGAATTTGACAAATATGGTACTATGAATTACCTCTGCTTAGTGGTTACAGGCAGTGATGGTAGCATGAGACGCAGCTATATGAAAAATTTTATGGGGTGAACCCATCAGATGAATCCTGATCGTTGATATCGTGTTGGGTTACCTTCCACAGGGCCCACTCTAGTACTTTGTACAGGTATAGTGCAGCGCACAAGTTAGGAATTTCAAAGATCAGAATAGCAATAATTTAGTTGGGAATGAAAAAGGTTAACGCGTATTCTCCATATTTAGGCTACTTTGAAGTGTTTTTCACTTGAAGTTGTGATGCAGGTTGTATGTACCTTAATCTAAGTCAGAGATGCTTAGGGGATGGCATCTTTGTGACATGAGAGTGTATAATGAATGCACTGGATTTCTTTCAAATGTTTCTGAGCATGTGTTATGTGTCTTATAATGCTTGTTTTGTAACCCCATGTTTTTTGCTGATTCTTTCGTCACCATGTTATGCAAGATTCTTCCATCATCTTTTTCTGTAGGTCTTAGATTCTTTCATCATATTCAACTAAGCTCTAAAAGCATCTACTTCTTGTCTGATCCTCAATATAGCCATTTCAACAAAATATTAAAGTTTTATGATTTGACATCAAAACTATCGTCTATGGCTGTGAATTGTGACATCATGAGATGAATAACATGAACAGTGAGCCTACATTTGACGATCTCAAATTCTCAATCCTTCACAATAGACCTCTCCGGTCCATGTGGATCCAACCAATTCAATTATAAGAATTTATTGTAGCACTAATAATAATGCTAAGGTTGTTCATTGCACCCACCAATTAATCTCCATGAACATGACCCATTTAGCACACACATATATCATATGAGCTTGGTTTTCATGGATGTACTACAAGTCTACTGCTACTAAAAAAACCAATCCATAGGCTATGAAACTTGAAAGTTTCCTAATTTGACTATATAAGGATGAAAATCCAACCCGTCTTGACGTCGCCTCACCTCATTTGAGGTGAAGATGGGATGTCAAATTTTGCTCAGAACGAGACACAAGACAAGAATAAGTTTTTTTTTTTTTTTTTTTTTGAGGGGGTGGGGATGGGAATGAGGATAGCCATTCCCGCCCCATTCCATCCTTTAGCTTTTAAAAAAGATAATCTAATAGTGTCTCATTTCATTTGAACCAGGGATGGAGAGTGAAATTTCGCTTCAAACGAAACACGAAATGAGGATGAAATTTTTTTTTTAAAGATGGGGATGGTGATCCTCGCCCGTCCCGTTACCATCCCTACGACCATCCACAGCATGCGTGTTGAACAGCTGGAGGCTTTCAGAAAATTTCAGCTCTGATACAATTTAGCTCAAGCGCATGGTTACAATTGCTAATTGCTAATCAACCAAGTGACATGAAAGGTCTTGTCGAGATTCAAGGGTGCAGTGCTACATGTAATTTTGAGCTCAAGTGAATAGTTTAGAATAATCTCAAAGGCGCACTATGAATTAATAAATAAAAATTATGCATGTTAAAAAAAAAAAAAAAAGATTCAACTAGGTCTAACATTCAACATTTTGCAAAAGGAGAGAGAGAGAAATGTGAACTCAAGTTAATGCTGCAGTTCCATTAACAGTTGTTAGAAGTTGAATAATTTGAAATCACAACTTGGAAAATATATTTTATTAAAAACTCATCACATTTCCTTGAGGAAAAATCAGAGTTCCACTTCTGTTTGTCCTCAAAATAATGCTGGTGGCTAAAAGGTGTCTGTACCTTCAAAAGCTACGGCTCTTTCCACAATAAATCTCCACAGCACCTAACATAGTTATCCAATTTTGATTAACGGGAGAGAGAGGAGTATATAATATACTCCCACCTCGAATCAATGGATTACGAATCAAATCATCGGGGAATTGATTGTATTTTTCTGATTCAAAATTTTGTGCACTTTTGGACGAAGCAAGCCATGTGAACAAACAAACCTGGGCAGTGGACATTCTTTCTTGGATGATTCAGGCACAATTTGACACTAAAGTCATTTCAATGTTCAACAAGCTTGACTAAACGTCAAGTCATTCACCTTGGTCAACAAGGCCTCTTTTGCAGGGTAATGCTGCTTCACATTGCACTTTCATCCTTAAATCTTCTTAGTCAACCAACTAATGAATGCACATGATTACAACGATTTGACAATTTCCAAAGAAAAACTTCCCTCATGGGGTTAGGGTTGGGGAGCACCCCATTATGTATGTTTATTTACTATTGGAAATGTACAGAATATGAATTCAATAAATTTGGAAGGTTAGAGCTCGCAAACTTGCTCCACCGTTTTGTCAGTGGGCAAGTATTTCACCTGCTCCCTCACGTGACTTTTGGTTCATTTCTTTCTTCTTCCTCGTTTTGAGAGTTAAATATTTTTGAATTCTTTTTGGGGTTCAAGTTAAGTGGACGGCATCACCTAATCCACAAGAATCCAAACCAAAACTCCAATGGAATGACAACTAAGATTTGAGATTGTAAATAATTCTAATCTCCATCTTCTCACCTAAAAGTTTCTTCAAGATCGAAAGACACATTATTATATAGGATTATGCGTTTTGTCATAATCTTGACCAGATGATTGTAATGTTTAAATAATAGAAAGGATATCATGATGGGTCAGTAGCTTGTGACTACACATACTTAATCTGTTGGTGGGTGTTGTTGGAAGTTACCAAAGAATTAAAGAGTGTGATAAAGGGTAAGGAAACATTAATTAGGGATTGATGTTGACATTGGAAATCTGATTTCTAGCTAGTAACTAACAGATTCTATTTATGTTTTTTTCTTTTTTGATCAACAGATTCGATTCATTAAGCAGAAACATTAGAGACAAGCATACTGTGAACGCTATCAGGCTTTCATGAGACCCAGTTAGGAGGAAGAAAGTTATTCCTAATGGCTTTTGCAACCCAATCTGCAGCCCTATTAGCCCTATTTCTAATCAGGTTGATAGAGACAGAAGGCATGCTAGATAGCTGATTTTTTACTCTGCTATAATAGAAAATTTTGCCCATCCAGGAACCGAGCAAGAATCCTTGATGGCTAACACAATTGTAGCTGCATCAGATTCCACTGGTATCACTAGGTTGATAGAAATTAGATTATTGTGTTATGCTTGTGCATTTATTGAGCTGTCATCTAAATCTAATCACAAGGTTTGATGAGTGCAAAATACAGAATCACATACAAAATGGGTTAGGGGAGTGTGTGTGTGGGGGCAGAGACTCAAAGGAAATGTAAGCACCAAAGAAAGAAATACTCCCACCCTGGGCTCAGTACCATAGCTTCCTTCCTTGGATTTCATAAACTGATCATTAGCATATCCAATATAACATAAACTGATCATTAAGGTAATTGATATTAAATAATTTTACAAAGAATGTAATTATGAAGCTCATTTTACCGATCCATCTCATAAAAGCACAATTTACCAGAAAGACTTTTCATTGATGCCATTATTAACATGTAAACAGGCAATCGTCACCAAGAAATGGGGCAAAACCTCAACATAATTTGAAGGGGTTTAGTAGGTAGGGAACCATTTTACACAAAACACACAAGGAAGGCCCCCATTCAACTCAATTACATAAATAGTACTAATTTTTCTGAAAATTTCACACAAACAGGATGAGGCTAGATTTCAGATCATTAAGAAAACAAAGTCTCAAAAGCAAAGGTTGACAGATTCCACAACAGAAAAACAAAACCTCTGGTACCAGAAAACTTTATTGATTGCCTAAGGCCAAATCATGCCAAGCATCTGCGTCCACATGTTGAGTCTCCTGATCTGAAAAAGAGCAAACCCAAATAGGGGTTACAAATGGACTGGCAACATCAACTGAAATGCAACATGACTAAAAAAAAACAAAAGATCAAGAGAAGCACTAGTGCGCTTAAACAACCATGTTCCCAAAGAGAGATAAATTAGCTAAAACTACCCAACCAAACACTTCTCAACATTTCCAGCCAAGTCTCCTTCACTTAATAAACAAGCAAAAACAAGGAAAGGGAAAAACTGTTCCAGAAACAGTCTATGTTGAGCAAACCAACAAAATCGTTCGATGTAGTGGACTCCATTGTTACAATTGATTAGTGCAGTGAAGACAAATAATGGCCATTTACAAAGACTGGACATTTATAAAAATTAACGAAATAAAGAAAACAGATGCATATTTAAAGAAAAGACGTAATATAATAAATTCCCCTCCAGTGACATTGCAGAAAACAACAATCTTAAAATGGGTATCCAATTTGATAAGAAAAGGAGATAAATTTGCCCCGAGTTCCAATACTTAAAAAAAAAAAAAAAGGTGTGTGAGGCTTACTCGAATCTTCAGCATCATCAGTCCTAACGACCATCACTGGTGGTAATGCAAGATCTGCATTCATTTAAGACAAGCATAATTCCAAAATTTAGGCAATTAAAGCAACAATAGAAAAGAAGAAAGCTGCATTGGGTAAGTAGAAAATGAATGAAAATGATGTACCATCATCAGGCAAGGTGTCTCTCATCCATTCCTCGTCCACAATATCTATAAGAATACCCATGTTTAGTTCTGCCATATTTGCTTCTTACTTCAATCAAATTCCCTACCCACACATAAAGGGTAAGTAACGTTCGATATTAGTTCTCTTCCAAATATAGAAAAAGTATAAATATTTCTCTTAAGTGCAAAAAATAAAGCCAAGGTGGAGTAGAGTTTTAGTCGAGGCATTTTATCAAAAAATGTTGGAAGTGCTAAATTAGATTAAAGCTAACATGAACATCAATCAAGAAAATTGGGAACTAAAGCAGTTAAATGGGAGAAATTAAAGAAAAAGTGAAGAAAGAGTCTTCAGGATATGTACCTGCTGCTGCTGCTGCTTGGTTTGATGATTTGATGATGAAACGAGGAAGAAGATCCGTGCCTTCTAAATCCTTTGGAAACACGACAAGTAGTTGCGTTCTGTTAATTGCCTAAAATCAAGATTTGGGCTTAGGGTCCCAAATGACGATGCTGGGATTTCTAGAAATTAGAGCCCATTGGATATTCTTTTAGGCCTGGGCAAATTTTGTGGACACCATTAATGAGGAAAGAAAGTTGTATAGGTTGGTCATGTTTGGGCCTGATGTCAATACCCCTGAAATGGATCAAGCCTAAAATTACCAAATTTTGATTTTTATTTTTGAACTTGCACATGTATAGTTCTTTTTTAATGACAATGATTTCCTACTAAGAAATATTGTACGATTACTTATTTATAAAACTAAAGCTTTTACAAGAATTCTTAACCATAGATTTTCTTTTGATCTAACGTTAATATTGTCCAATTGCTTATTTATAAAACTAAAGCTTGAATTTTTGTTAATGAGCTAAGTCCGTCACAAAATAGTCCGAGATGTTGCGTGACTATGAGGTAAGTAACACACAAGCCAATGTTGCAAATCGAAAAAGCATCAACCCATTTTCAAGGCATAGGCTCGTGAAAGGAAGACAATCGTTGGGTGCAATAAAAATAGGCTCCAAAACCATTCCTTTCATAACTAATCCAAAACAATTTTCAATGATTCATCTACCTAATTGTAGAAAAATATTCACTCAAAGCGTCAAGATTTAACTAAAATTCAACTGTGATCATTTTTCTCTAGGCATTCTCTCTTTTTTCCCACAAAGAATCTAAGATTTCGGTTAAAATCATGCAATAAAATTTTTTCTTAATTATTAGAGTTATTTTTTCTTTTCTTGCAAGTATTGTTGCCGACATAACGAAAGACTAAAAATCATACTCCCTCTAGTATTTACGTTTGATCAAATTAAGCATCATATCTTAAATTTAGACAAATCAATCCTTTTACATTTAATTAAAAGTTGAACCCTTTCATCCATCTTCATTACCAATTAAAAGTTGAGCCCTTTCATCGCATATTATGCTGCAATTAGGCAAACATCTCAAATTGCCATTGATTCAAAGTAAAAGAGTTTAATGTAAAACAAATGGTTTGAATGGACCAAACATGCAAACTACAAGAACCAAGCATGATTTTTTGCCACAAACAAAAAGTTAAACGTGATCACTTGTCACCAGTGGTTTATGCTTTATACTGTAGGTAGTTATCCCCCAATTCCAAGGACTGAAGGGATAGATAATTTGACATATCGAAACCTATCTAGTTGCAGACATGGAAACAAATTAAAATCTCTGTTTTTTTTTTCTTTTTTCCTTTTTTGGAAAGAATAGCCAATTTATGTCCCTCTGAAAAGAAATCCCAACGCAAATTAGGCACTAAAAAACTTGTGATTGCAATTTGCAAATGCGTATAGTTTTTCCATTGCTTGAACGATCAGCAAAGCTGCTCCAATCTGCTTCATTGATTACACCACTTTCTTAATGCTCTGCTCTACTCATTGGGCTGGCCATTCCCATGAAAGTTAAGTGGATTTAAAATCTATTAGAAGCAGGTGTAAGTATCAATCATGTACTTTCCTTTATTTTGTTGCCATTGTCATCACCTTTTGCATTTTCCATCTCTATATTAATGTCTCCGTGGCCGAGCCAGAGGACTGGCGGGGTCGGCTGTCCCCATGATGGGAATTAAAGTCTCTGCGTTTTAAAGGTATTTTCGAAAGAGTACTGTTATTTCTACATAAAGGCCCTTCCAAAATCAAAAAGCTACTTATTAGGTTTTATTTTAATATCGAGAAGAAAATGAAAGTAGAGTGGGGTTGAAAATTTCATAAAAGGCCTATGCTTATAGAAATATTAATTGTTCACTTTATTGTGCAGCTCAATTATGTGGTTGAACCCATTCCAGGTGTTAGAAGTGGATGCTTGAATTGTTGAAACGAATTCTGTAGCATACAATAGTGGCTATACCTTTTTTATTTATTACGCGTTTAAATACAACCCACATGCCACCTTTTTCCTAAGTTTTTTTTTAAAAAAAAACTATATTTTATTTCATTTATTAAGAAGCACACCTACATATAGTAGAAATTAAAAATTTAGATATAAACAGAAATTATCAAATAGTTTGTATATTTGTATTTGTTATTGTTTTTAATGAAACAAATTTATTGTATGATGGAAGAAGACTACTTGTATTGTGTAATTTAAAACCCAACGAACCACTCAATCTATAAATAAAAATAGAAATTTAGCAATGGGTACCTGGGTGGTGGCTCATGTGATTAGGAGAACTTCTCGATATTTTTTTTCTTCTCAGACATCCTTGTCACGTGCCTGTGTACTCCATAGAGATTGAGAGAAGAGATTGTTAACCCCTGACACTAAGATTTACAATTGTTTATACAATCATGAAAATTGTCTGAGTATAATTCTTTACCATCAATAACCTTTGATGTTGATCGAAAGATAAGTATTTTTTATATTAATGATTCATTATTGAGTAAATATGATTACGTCATAAATCGTTATCGATTAAATAAAATAATCATATATACTTAATTCAATAAATGCATAATTTGTTATTTTTATAAATAAAAATAAGTCAGAATTTTCAAGTTATGGTTAGACGATTTTAACATAAAAGATTTTTTTTTGATAACATTATCGTTCTTTCGTTCAAAATTATTTTTTATGAAATGTCATCTATCTAAATCGTATTTAGATATCTTATATAATTGTGGATAAATCTTTTTTTTCAATATCAATCGATAATTAAAAAATAGAATAAAAATGATTAATGTGGACTACAAGTATACAAATTCTCTCTCTCTCTCTCCATATATATATATATATATACTCCATCCATCCATCCGCATGATCATTTTACTTGAAAGTACGAATTTCATATAATTACAAGAGAATTACTTATTTTATCTACAATTCACCTTAACTTCCTAACTCTCTTCTCTTTTTATTATGAAGTTGGAGCGCTAAGCATATTTCAAAAGCTCCACCTATTTGTATCAAATTTATCATACACTGGACATAAACCGATGCTTATTAAATATGCGGCGATATGACAAATAATAATAATAATAATAATAACAACAACAACAAATAAATTAAATTTGGGCGATGAATTCATAGGACACATGACGATTGTAATTTCCTTTTTTTTAAAAAAAGGATTCAAATATTAATTATTGTATCTCTTTATCCATGTTATATCGTACCTATTGTTGTGACTGTGGCCATGTTGAACAAGACTTGGAAAATATATAAAAGATGCAAAAATTATCTTTTGAAATTGAAATTATTTGAGAATTTTCTTCAACCATGTTCACTTACGTTATTTTTAAATAAATAAGAATTTTGGTCAACTACGTATTAACTTAAATGATCATTAACATCAAAAAATCTAAATTAATGTTTTAATTTAAAAACACAATTAATAAACAAATTATAAATTAATTACACCAACGGTTGTGGCAGGTGTTAAATAATCAATTGTGATCAACCAAAAAAAAAAAAAAATTGAAAACGTAACCATCTCATCAGATAATAAGTAAAAAGTACCTGATTTATGTGCATGCACGTCAGCATCATTCTTTCAGATTTTACCTAATAAACGATTGTTTCTATGCATTTCTTTAGAACTAAAATGATTTAGTCAACATTTTTGAACTTGCGATACGTGCTGGTGAAAGGATCGATCACCGACTATCAAGTTGACTTATCACCTCCCTTATCATCATTAGCATTCAGCACCATGAACTCCCCGCCTCACGGGATCCGTCTGAGGGGACCGTCGGACCGACTATAATAATTTCCACATGTTTGCTTAGAGAAGCCAAAACCATAAGCCCCCTCCTTGCTACGTAATCCATTTCCTTCAAACCGTTGATCAGTTTTGATCATCATCATCAAAGAACATCTGGCTAATGATTTAGATTTATTAAGATATTCTGGTTGCGGGGGAGAGCCAAATCGAGAAATGAATTAGCTACGCGTGGTCCATGAACACACGCAAGCAAGAGTGACTGGACTACACGTGGTGTCCACACAAGAATTTGAGGTTTTGAATGTTTGGTTGGAACTAGCTGTTTTCGCGTATTTGCTATCAAACTCAAAAGTTGTTATCTCCTCCTCCTTCCTCCTCTTCGTCTCTAGAGTCTTAGATTTAAATTTTCTAAAGTCTCTCTCTCTCTCTATTTCTGTTTTATCAAACAGCCGTTACATTCATCGATTCCTTACCTTATTTTTAACTTTCTAATTTCATAAACAATTAATTGTTCTAACCCAGACTAAAATGCATGTTTTATTTTTAAAATTGGTTCAATTATTAGTTTTATTTTGAAAAAAATATAACATTACATTACATTTAATTTATTTCCAAATATTTTGACTTTTTCTTTTGCGTAAATATTGGTTGCCGATTTCCTTTGGTATGGAGTTAATTAGATTTTGATCGAGAGTTATTACCTTGATTGTCTATTACCTGGAGAAAACAACAACAGTATTTCCTTGTATAACTTGATGATTCTAAGACAAAGATGAAATAATAGGAATATTTAATAATAGGATTTATATTTATTTACACCACTTTAAAAAGAAACAAATGAATTTCTCCTGAATCCACTCTTGCCCAAAAAAAAAAAAAAAAAAAAAACCTCCTGAATTATAGCTCAATGCTGATGTGGCTCACAGTCAGAGAAAAAAAGGACATACATAGGAAGAGAGCAAAAAAACAGTAATTAGTTAAATTAGCAGTACTAAGTCTAAATTCTTTATTTTTTTTCATTTAAAAGAAAAAAGAAAAAAGAAAAAGAAAAAACAAGTGAAGAGTAATATACCTTTTGCACGTAAAAGTATCTCTCTTCTCACCTCCAACAAATAATTTTGGTTATTCTTAAAGAAAGAAAGAAAGAGGGTAGAAAGTTCACAAATTACAACCACCAAAAGGGTTGAAGAAAAAAACACAAACGTAAATGCAATTCCATCCATTCCATGCCCTTTAGCTTTTTTTTCTTTTCCGAAAACTCCAAAACAACAAAATCAAAACAAAGCAAACCTAAATTCATTCTATCTTCTCATCATCTCTCCAATTTCTATGGCAACCAACAAAACCCCAAACAACAATAACAACCAAAGCCAAAGTCCTCTTCTGGGTCGGTACGAGATCGGCAAACTTCTTGGACATGGTACTTTTGCTAAAGTATACCATGCTAGAAACATTAAAACTAATGAAAGTGTTGCCATCAAAGTTATTGACAAAGAGAAAATCCTCAAAGGTGGTCTTATTGCTCACATCAAACGCGAAATCTCCATTCTTCGCCGTGTTCGCCACCCCAACATTGTCCAGCTTTTTGAAGTCATGGCTACAAAAGCCAAGATTTACTTTGTCATGGAATATGTTCGTGGTGGTGAATTGTTCAATAAAGTTGCTAAAGGCAGGTTGAAAGAAGAGGTAGCAAGGAAATATTTCCAGCAATTGATATCAGCCGTGTCATTTTGTCACGCCAGAGGTGTGTTTCACCGCGATTTGAAGCCGGAGAATTTGTTGCTTGATGAGAATGGTAACTTGAAAGTTTCCGATTTTGGGTTGAGTGCAGTGTCTGATCAGATTAGACAAGATGGCTTGTTCCATACTTTTTGCGGGACACCGGCTTATGTTGCCCCTGAAGTTCTTGCGAGAAAAGGGTATGATGCTGCTAAAGTTGATATTTGGTCTTGTGGGATTGTTTTGTTTGTGTTGATGGCTGGTTATTTACCATTTCATGATCAAAATGTTATGCTTATGTATAAAAAGATCTATAGGGGTGAGTTTAGATGTCCTAGATGGTTTTCTTCTGAGCTAACTAGGCTTCTTTCTAAACTTCTTGATACTAACCCTGTTACAAGAATTACAATCCCTGATATTATGGAGGCTAGGTGGTTCAAAAAGGGGTTTAAGCACATTAAATTCTATATTGAAGATGATAAAGTTTGTAATGTCGAAGAAGAGGAAGATGTGGGTTCATCTTCTGATCAATCATTGTCGGAATCGGAATCGGAATTCGAAATTAGAAGAAGGGCTACCACTTTACCTAGACCTGCAAGTTTGAATGCTTTTGATATTATATCATTTTCTCCTGGGTTTGATTTATCTGGGTTGTTTGAGGAAGGTGGAGAGGGAGCAAGGTTCGTCTCTGGGGCTCCTGTGTCCAAGATTATATCTAAATTGGAGGAGATCGCTAAAGTTGTGAGCTTTACAGTGAGGAAAAAGGATTGTAGAGTGAGTTTGGAAGGGTCTAGAGAAGGTGTGAGAGGTCCATTAACAATTGCAGCTGAGATATTTGAGTTGACACCGAAATTGGTTGTGGTGGAGGTTAAGAAGAAAGGAGGGGATAGAGGAGAATACGAGGATTTCTGTAACAGTGAATTGAAACCTGGATTGCAGAAGTTGATGCAGGAGGAATCTGAGGCAGCAGCTCCTCCTACCTTGGTTACTTCTACTTCTTTGCCGTTGGAATCTCCAAAATTCACCATCGATCCTTTTCCTACTGATTCTTCACAATTACCTATTGATGCTTTTCCTTCCGATTCTTCACAATTACCTATTGATCCTTTTCCTACCGATTCTACACAATTACCTATTGATCCTTTTCCTATCGATGCTTCACATTTACCTTCGGATACTGAATAGAGAAAGAGAGAGAAAGGGAAAGGGTATGCTTTTCTCTTTCCTTTTGCTTCAATAAGCTTTTGTATGATATATTTTGTTTTTTTTTTTTCCTTGTTCTAAGTTTTTCAATTTCTTTGATGTTCTGCTGTGTCATTTAGGGGATTAGAAGCTAATGCATGTTGTATGTTCTTTTCTTTTTCCGAGAAAGAGTAGATTAATTGAAGAGAGTGACATACGTATTTCTGTTGATCTTGGCAATTTAGTGTTGACTTCTTTGTTCTGTTAACTTATGTTGTGAATGTGAATGAAGTTGCTTTCTTCTGTTCATTCCTGCCGATTGTGGTACGGAGTGAAGGAAATACAAGTTTCCTAATTTGGATTACGATAAATAAAAATGGGAGTGAATCATAAAGATTTCGTAGTTTTATCTTGTGTGGACTCCAATATCTGGGTAGAAATATACTCTCTGCCTCTGGTTATACAGCTTTTGCTTGGATGTCTTAAAGTATGCAGGTTTGAAAGCCTACGTATTAGTTGCAAATATGATTGGTGAAGTTATTAGGCAACTCTCGTCGTAGCAGCATGTCAATAACAGCAGTAGCCATTTTAATTGAAAAAAAATATAGTTGATAGCTGATGACTCTGATGATTCCTTGGCATAACTCATCGGAAAGGCGCCGTATACATTAAAGAGAGCTATTTCTCATTTATATGGGGCCATATCTAAATTATGAATGATAGTTAAAACGTTACCTGTGGACTAAATGAATGATGCTAGTTCCTCTGTGTCGATGCAATTCTTCATTGGAGAAAAGACATGTTGAAAGTGAATTAGGATTTGTAAAAACTAAGACACTCACCTTGGCTAGAGTTGCTCAATTTTATAGAAGAAAAGACTTACAACTGAGAATACAGGTCCTTGGTTCAATGAGGAAAGTTCGTACAAAATTAAAGGTTGATTAATTGGTAGGAGTTCTGGTTTGACATGATTTTGAATGGTTTACATTACAGTGGAGTCTTGTATTGGTTTGTGGTAACTTTTTCATTTACCTATAGTTGGTGGCTTGGGCACAACCTAGTTGAGCTTCTTTGGATGATGCATTTCCCTGATTTCTGAAGTTCTGCAAATATGAAATGCAAGGTAATAATAATCTCAGATTAGTAAATGAACAAACACTAGTGTGAAGTCAGTTTTAGTCATTTTAAATGGGTGAAAGGGTGAGGATAATATCTAGGGGCATCCAATCACTGATGATATTGTATGTCATCTCCTTTATTAGTCTGTCAATTGCATATTAGCTAAAATGGAGGCTTACCATACATAATTGATCTTGTACCAATAATAGCTCATTGCTTTCAGTACAAATTTTGTACACTCATTCTGATAGAGCCTTGATGGTGATGGCCCAATCAGTTGTCTGGGGCCAGTTTGCTCATCCAAAATGGTCACCAATGTCAGATTATTATTACAATTTATTGCACTACTAAGTCACTGAAAAAATCGGGCTTTGTTATCATTTTATTAGTCTGGGTTAGTGTCTTTTCAGTTTTCAGATTGAGTGATTGAGTCTCAGACAAGTGATAGATACACAGTTAAAAGTGAGTTCTATGTCTAGGAGATGGAAATTCTCGGTGCATGTCATATGCCTTGAATTGATTGAAGTTTACTTGTAGGAAAACCCATCAAGGTTTAATCTGATCAAGAATTTAGTGAAAATTATTTTACTCTCTAACCTCATTTTTTTCCCCCTTCTAATACTCCTTTGCTTTCTTTGTGTATTTAATTGCTGGAGCTACACTTTGTTTTATTTGTCAAAATCACTATATTTTCACTTCTTTTTTTCATAAAGTACCCTCAACATCCTAATCCTATATTGTAATCCATGCGTATCCTATTTTTCAAATATTATAATGCGCTATCCATACTTTTGATCATGAAAAAAAGAAACTTCAAATTTATTACAAAATTGTTATTATACATGTGTTATGAAAAACTTATTTGCCGAATTGTTCCTAAATCAATTGATCATAAATAAATTATTTAAATCTCTCTGATCTTTCTCTTGTAAGCTACTCATTTCCTTCTCAAACATCATCACAAGTTCACAACTACAAGCTGAAAACGCATGCCAATCAACAGCACCAATCACCACTTTCTCCAAGTCAATTTGGTATATCATATTCTCCACCAAAAACCAGCCACCAAATCTGTCCTAGTCAAAACTTTGCAGACCACCACTACAACCCATAGCCGTCCTCCAAGTCAATTTATAACCATGATCACCGTCAATTGCATATCAAAAGCAGCAACATAATCAGACTGATATATGTCTAAAACGCTCAATTCCGTATTATGTATAAATCACCTACACCCAAAGAAAAAGAAAACCCAATTTTTTTCAATAATATTACATTGTTGTTAAATTATAGGTAAACTAAATAAATGACCCACTAATTCAAAAGCCATTAATCATCAATTTTTTTTTCAATAATCAAGCATAACTCATGATTATAAACTATAATTACCAAACTACAAAGCTTCGATTACATTAGGTTGGTGGCAGATCTTGTTGCTGTTGTTGACGTCTGTAACGGTGATGGTTGAGCGAATTTTGTTCAGTTTTGGTATTTGATGATGGCTGCGGTATCTGTAATAGCGTATGGGCAGTGAATTAGAAAGTTTTCGTGGTGGGTTTAAAAGAGGTTGAAAATTCATTTCTATCATGATGATTAGTGAAGCTATGTATAAAGCTGACTTGATTAATTGAGTGGCTATGTGTTGCTGGGATTATACATGCTCTTGTTTTCCTAGTTCGGTCAGTTTCTGAGGCTCCGTCTCCAATTACTGAAGGTTGGTTGGTCCTTTATTGTTGCATTTTGGTAGTATGGCAAAAAAATTGAGTCAAGGCTTCTGAATCCTTACCCTCTTCAGGGATAAAAACATAGAAGGTTTTTTGTTAGCATATGGATAGATAGTATTTCATTCACGTACAAATTTATGAGTCCTGTAGGCTTTATTTTTTGTCATAATTCATTGGGTGCTGAGTATTTTTTTTACTTCAAATACACTCAGGTTAAGTCCATTTGGTGTTAGAGAGAGAGTAATATCAACTTATCACTGAAGCCTCACTCATAAGTTTAATATTTTGAACCGAGATAGTTATTTGATATGATATCGGAATATTAAAAAAACCTAACAATTAAAAAAAGAATGCATGTGAATGAGAGTGTTAAGAAACTATCATTCATTAAATAATTAAACAAAAAGAGGATTAATAGATAAAGTTGAAAATGATATAGATGGAATCCAATCTCAACTTTATATATTATTATTTTTTATTTAATTATCAAATATGAGATATTTTTCTTGTCAGCTATCTACTTGACATTGATTATCTTTAATAATTGAATGACTCTGCAATCATATCCGTTGGTGGAATTTTGCAAGGATCTGAAGGGTGTATTTGCTTCACGTTTTGGACAAAACCTGTTGTGCCGTGATGGGAATTCTTCCAAGAAGAATTGAGGCAATTCGACTACGTGGCAACATATTTAGGGTGTCTTTGAATAAAAAATTTAGGGCAAATGTCAACTTAAATCACTTCAGTTTTGCGCAAATGATGGTGGTGATTGTCATGAGATGGAATAGCTAAAAGTAAAGAAAGCACGCTTGGGTTGGTTAGGATGTAGGACTACTTTCAAAAATGAATGTGAATCATGTATAATAGAAGATACAAGTATATTTCTCTAGACTCTACTTTCGTTCGCTGAGAGCTTCAAAGTCACCGGTGCTTCTATGCGTGCCTCATTCCTAAACATTGCAAGCAAAACAGCATCTGTAATTTCTGTTTTTTCTTTTTTGGTTGGAATATGATATAAATAAGGCAAGACTGGTGGTTCTTGACTCTATGGCTACAATTACAATCAGCTAAATGCCAGGTGCCAACTGTAGGTAAGGTCTAGATTTAGTTGAGAAAATCCACCCAACGGAACACCTGTGATTGGTCTAGAATCATATGGTCTTGGAGCTCGGAGGGTCATAGACTCAATTATATTGACCTTCACGATCTTTATAGTATTTTTTATTTGTTTGTTTTAAAGGTTTAGAGTAGAGAATATGCCAACGACATGAATGCCGTATTTTTTGCCAACGACATGAATGCCGTATTTTTTCCATGTCAACTTATCAAAAGAAATATTGGGAGTCCTGTATGGCAATCGCGATTAATACATATTGAGAGATAACTTTGAGTAATGCTAACGTTTTTATCGAAATCAATGGGCTTTTGCCACAATGACTACTGAGTTTATATATATATATATATATATAAACTTTTACCATAGCTAAATCCTGTTTTTGGCTTCTAGTAAAAAAAAAAGATCTATTTTTTGTGATCTTAATTTTATTTTGATTATTAAATTTTTTATCCTTATATATATATTGATGAAAGTATAAATGATTAGAGTAATATTTAGCCATATTAAAACTTGAGAGGCTTGAAGGGAGCGAAAGAGAAAACCATTTGATAGATATAAAAAGTCTATAGTTACCTAACTTTTATAATCTTTTAACGTATACGTACAAGGGTGGATTCAGCATTCGAGGATCCACTTCTCATTTTCTTTATAGTGCGCGGTCCCCACAGAAATGATTTTATAGTCACGTGATTAGGTAACATGGTATCTAACTATCTTTCTTTTTGTTTCTTAATCTAATTTATTGGATTAATTAAGTTCGATAATTTTGATTATTCGGGTGTAGGTGGACCACTTGCTGGGTCAATTTGTCTTGTACCTATGTGACTACCAAGTATGCAGCCTTTCTTCATCGTGAGCTAAGCAAATCAATTGGACTGGCATGGCAAATTGTCAACTTTAGACAACGTCATTTTCCTTCGACAGTTTAGTTCTTGTTTCATGAATGATCTTTTGATACAATGAAATACATAAAAGGACAAACAAATAAGCCAAAAGCCGCTATCATTGATTTCAACGTCCCTAGAGAATTCTTGAGCTTTTGT